TGGTCCCACCTCCTCACCTGGCCCTACTCCCCCCACTGGTCCCACCTCCTCACCTGGCCCCACCCCCACCACTGGTCCCACCTCCTCACCTGGCCTCTGGGCTGAGCAGAACGGTGTTGGAAACATCCTTCATTGCATCTCTACCCTCATTGTGGTGTGGCTCCGGTGTTTTTGAGACAGACCTGGGGCTGCTTCTGAGATGACAGTTGAACCCATGTAAGCATCAAAGGTCTCCACCTGAGAGCTCCTCCACCATGCCAAGTTTCTGGACTGCACCATTGGCGGCGGCTCCCAAAGGCCCAGGGCAGCCAGGCCCGGGGAGAGGGGGATGCTCAGGGTTCAGTGGGGAGGCACGGCTATGGAATGACCCCTCCAGAGAGCTCTCCCTGCCCCTCGGGGCATTGGCTCCCTGCCCAGCTGAGGTGGAACTAAGGGCAACCAGTGATGGGGCAGCTGTCAACACCTCTGATGGATTCACTCCATGGTTCTTGTGTCTTCCTTCTCTCCTGGGATCAGGTGCAGAAAGACCTGTGGAAGTATTTGGAAGAACAAATGGCACCATTTCTAGAAAGAAGTGAGGCCCCTTTGCCTGAAGACTGCCCAGTGAGGAGTAAATTGAGAATGGGCCTAATTGTCCTTTTCTCTGTGGAAAAATTTAACCTGTCCTTATTAGAAAGGGACCTGACCTTGCTGTGTGACCTTCTTTGCTCGAATGCCAATTCACCAGATGCCTTTCACCACGACCTAAGTTACATCTTTGGAACATCTCAGAGGTATCTGTGTGTGAGTGTGTGTGTGAGTGTGTGTGGGTGTGTGTGTGAGAAAAGATTTTAGAGCTATTTCCGATGATTTTATCTGATTATAAAAATAAGTGATTGTCATAGAATGGGTGAAAACATACAAGAAATAAAAACTACCCATAATTATACCACTCAACTGCTGTCATTTCAATATTTATCCCTCTAGCCTTTTTCCTAGCATATACATTATTTTTACTTTTATTACATATTCTATTGAATATCCTACTTTTGAGAAGCTTCATGGTATATCAAAACTCGCCCCACAAATGTGTATTTCAGGGGATTATGGTATGACGATTGACTATAGGAGTCCAACTCCAGGGCATCTGCGGAAGCCACATGGGTGCTCTCCCTGTGGCCTTTGCCGCCACTGTGTTTAGTTCAGGAGCCACTGGTGTCACTGTGCTGGGCCAGGAGGCATTGGTGGTGTGAAGGCGATGGCCTGTCCTGAGGGAGCTCACGGCTTACTGGGTGGGGGGCACCCACTCAGAATCCTCTGACCGTTGCAGGGTCTTTCTACAGCATTTTCTGCAGCTGTCTGAGTTGAACTGGAGGATATTAGGTAGCCTTCCTTGAGCAGCAGGTCTTATTAGGACATCTGCCTCTTGGTTTTACAAATTTCAAACACCCAGCTAAACACTGTACATTTTTTTTTTTATAATTTTATTTATTTATTAGTTTTTCCACCAAAGCCCCAGTATATAGTTGTATGTCATAGCTGCACATCCTTCTAGTTGCTGTATGTGGGACGCCGCCTCAGCGTGGCCGGAGAAGCGGTGTGTCGGTGCGCGCCTGGGATCCGAACCCAGGCCGCCAGCAGCGGAGCGCGCGCCCTTAACCGCTAAGCCACGGGGCCGGCCCTAAACACTGTACATTTTTAAAGAGAGGAGGAAGAGTCTTAAATGTACAAAGTTCGTACAAGTGTTTCAAAGTATTAAAGCATTGATATTTTGTGACTGTAGGGAAGGTGCCATACATATATTGTTTATAGGCTACCCCATTACATTTGAAAATTTGCTTTCTGTTTAGATTTACTGGTGGCGGGGTTCACATGCCAGCTCTGGCTCGGGCAACCTTGCACAGATTACTGAGCCTCCGTGAAGCTCGGTTTCCTCAACTGACAAAGAGGATGGAAATAACTTCGTTGGCATTTTACTGCGGGGCTTCAGTGAGGGCTAGTCAGTGCCTGACCCTGGGGGCGGGTGCTGAGGGTCCCCCATCTCCCACTCGGCCACGTTTCTCACATCTGGTCAGTCAGTGCTCAGCCACCCAGAATGATCCTTCTGCTCTGTGTGAGGAGCCGTCACTTCCCTTGTGGGACATCAGACCACAGAGTGCGTCCGGCGCTGGCCGACCTCGGCTCACTGTGGGATCTCTCTTCCCTTTCCAGCTGGCAGACACACTTGGTAAACCTGTGCCGAAGGTGCATGAGCAAAAGGATTGACCTCTGGGTGTGCACCCTGCCTGTGTTGCACCACTGCCTGGAGCTGGCCCCTCCAGGGAAGGACTCTAGGATTCAGCCTGAGGACACCTGGGCAGCCCTCGAAGGAATGTCCTTCTCCCAGTTTCGGGAAGAAAGACCAGATCAGTAAGTTATGGAGCTGCACTTCCGTACAGAAATCTTGGAATAACGGCTGTGCTTCCTTGTGGACTGTTATGGAGCACTCATTCCTACTTCCAGTGACATAAGTAACATAGCACTTCTTTTAAAATTACCTCTTTAAAAAATTCTAAGCATACAAGAAATATAAAGAAGACAAAAACAGCCTGCAATCCCAGAGATAATCATTGTTGTTAACACTTAGGCATGCATTTGTCCAGGGTTTTGTCCAAATGTGTGTATGTGGGTGCTGTATGTGCTTGAAAGATAACAACACATGATAGGTTATTTATTCTATTTTTTTCTGCTTTTTTCACTTCACAGTATTTTGTGAACAACTTTTTGTCAGTAAATAGATGCCTACATTGTTTTTATAATGACTGCTTGGTCATTATAATTTATTTATTTTTATTTAGCAAGTTACGGGGCACGTGGATTATTTTTCACTTTCACTTTGTAAGCACACTTTGATAAACATCCTTGTAATTTCCCTGTCCAATTATTTCCTCAAGATAAATTCCTGAAGTAGAACTGTCAGGTGAAAGGCTTTGCACATTGTGCTTGCAAATCTTGAGGGAGTGACGTACCAGTCTTGAGGTAAGCAAAGCTTTCTTAGAGAAGACATAGAAAGCACAATCCATAAAAGAAAAATGGTAAATCAAATTTAAGTACAAAAATTAAGTTAAAATTAAATAAAAAATAAATATAAAAAGATTAATACTACCACTCATCTCCAAGCACAGATAACATCCACCATTTACTTTGTCTTTTGTGAGAGAAACTATTCCAGGTTTCATCTGTCCCCACTCCCTCCCCTGATCCAATAGGATCTAGCCTATAGGTTTTTAGGGGTTAAGAAAGTGAGCTAAATTAGGTTATTGCTTCTTCACTATTATTGGAACCTCTTGAAATTAAAGCCAAATTAAGATTATTTATATAATTATGCCCTTTGGGGTATACAGACTATCTAGAGGAAATTTAGCTGTTAACAGTGGACAATGACACACACTAGCCTTGGTTCTAAAGATTCTGTGTTTCCAGCAAAAGTGGCCTCGAGTGTGTTAGCAAACCTTTATCAGTATGTTTTCTGCAGCCTCTGTCACTTCTGTGGCACTCTGCTTTGTTTATTTTCCAGTTGTCATCTTTAGGGTTTTCCAGTCCAATGTTAAAGATAATAATTTATCTTTATCATAATTTATGATCATAATTTATGATCGTCATAATTTAAAGGCCTTCACTGGGATCACCTGGACTGTTTGATCCAGGGTGCTCACTTATTCACTCATCAAAATACTTAATTCATAAATTATTCTACCCACTATGGAAAACAGTGTGGAGTTTCCTTAAAAAGTTAAAAATAGACCTATCATCCGTATGATCCAGCAATCCCACTTCTGGGTATATACTGCAAGGAAATGAAATCACTGTCTCGAAGAGACATCTGCACTCGCATGTTCACTGCAGCATTATTCACAATAGCCAAGGCATGGAAGCATCCTAAGTGTCCTTCAACAGATGAATGGATAAAGAAGATGTGGTATATTTATACAATGGAGTGTTATTCAGCCATGAGAAAGAAGGAAGTCCTGCCATTTTGAACAACATGAGTGGACCTTGAGAGCATTACACTAAATGAGACAAGTCAGACAAAGAAAGACAAATACCTATGATCTCACTTATATGTAGAATCTAAAAAAGTCAAACGCATAGAATCAGAGAGTAGAATGGTTAATTGCCAGGGGATGAGGGGAGGGGAAAAGAGAAGATACTGGTCAAAGGGTGCAAACTTCCAGTTATGAGTAAGTTCTGTACAGCGTGGTAACTATAGTTATTAATACTGAATTATATTTACCACAAAAAAGAAATGGTAATTATGTGACGTGATGCAGTTGTTAGCGAACTCTATGATGCTAATCATTTTGCAGTATAAGTATCAAATCAACATATTGTACACCTTAAACTTACACAGTGTTATATGCCAATTATATCTCACTAAAGCTGGAAAAATGCTTAATTCTTGGTGAACTCTTTTATTGTGGTAAAATATACGTAATATACAATTTATCATTTTAATCATTTTTAGGTGTACAGTTCAGTGGCATTGAATACATTCACATTATTGTGCAACCATCACCACCATCCATCTCCAGAACTCTTTTCATCTTGTAAAACTGAAGCTCTGTCCCCAGGAAATAACAACATCCTGTCTCCCTTCCCCAGCCCCTGGCACCCACCATCCTACTTTCTGTCTCTATGAGTCTGAACACTCTAGGGACCTCGTATAAGTGGAATCACACAGTATTTGTACTGTGACTGGATTATTTCACTGAGCATAGTGTCCTGTCAAGGTTCATGCATGTTGGTGAATTCTTAATATGTTATTGTTTACTTTTCATTTGATTCCCTACTTAGCATTTTAAATTATTTTTAAAATCTGAACTTTCTAGACCCCTTCTGACAGAATTTTACTTATCTTACCTCAGTCTATTTTAGTGATCTCACCCCTTTTTTCTGTTCCTATTTTCCTCTTATACAGGAGACAATTGCTTCAGCTTATGGGAAAGAGAAAACATTTGCTGAATGTCGATGAGTATCTGTTCCGATCCTGGTTCAGTTTGCTCCCTCTGAGTAACTTGGTTCAGTATATGGAAGACTTCACTGACTACTTGAGTCACTTTCCTCCTCGTGTGCTGGACTGTCTTCTAGGGAGTTACTACCGGCTTCAAGGACTTAACGAAATCTCCCCCAGAAATCTGGAGGTTTGTCGTCTGGAATAGGCTCTTGAGTCCTTGCAGATCGAAAACGAAACATTCAGAGCTTGTGACTCTTCTTTTCTGAGAGCCTGACAGGATGAAGTACTTAGAAATCAGAAAACTGGGAGGGGTGCTATTTCTTAGGGCTAAAGGGTCGATTTACTTGAGTTTATTCTGTTTCAGTAAATAGAGTTCAATAAACGATAACCTTTTGTTCTCTGTAGTTGTGCGAGGCAAGGTTAGAAGTTATCCTGAGCGCTGGTACACTTCATAGTTACTGTCTTTCCTTTCCCGTTTTTTGGGGTAGAGAAAATGGTATAATTTTATATCCTGAATTTTATTTGTAGAAGATATAGGTTAGTAGTTGAGCACTTTAAAACTTGTTTATAGAAAGGAAAGAATTGGGTATGCCTTATTTATGTTGGATGTTTTTCAGTTTGGTTTTCACAGAGACAGTGGTTTCATGATTTAACCTTCCTTTCTGTTTTCCTTTCGTCACCACCCTAGGATGTGGGGAATACTCTTAAAATGCTGTGGCACCTCTTGGATATTTATCAGAACAAGTGAGTAGAAAAGCAGATGTAGCCTCTCTCTTGCATGTGGTCATCCCCTATTGATTGACAGTGCCCCATATTTGCTGTCATAATTGGAAGGTCATAAATCAATATATATCCCACTACTTTTTTTTCAAGTTATTAATATAATCATCCTATTTTTTTTAAAAAGGGAAAATAATAGATAACATGTGCTACGATTTTGGTTGATTTCCATCTGGTCTTTTTTCCGATGCATTTTTTTCATTTACTTTTTTTTTTTTTTTTTAATGATTTTATTCTTTTTTTATTTTTCCCCCAAAACCCCAGTAGATAGTTGTGTGTCATAGTTGCACATCCTTCTAGTTGCTGTATGTGGGACGCGGCCTCAGCATGGCCGGAGAAGCAGTGCGTCTGTGTACGCCCGGGATCTGAACCTGGGCCGCCTGCATTGGAGCACACGCACTTAACCGCTAAGCCACGGGGCCGGCCCTCATTTACTTTTAAATGATCATCATCATATTGCATATTCATGCTTGTGTCCTGCATTTCTTTAACATTTAGTCATTCTATGTTTTTTGCAACTTAGGCCAGTTGAAAATAAAAATCAGAGGTAGCTTTACATTATTATCCAAAATCATTTGCTCCTTCAAATTTGTGTGACCTCTGACACCCTGAAGAGACGGTATACAGAATGCAGAACAATACAGATGTCCACGTGGGAACAGGTGTGTTCTGAGATTCCCACAGCACTTCCAGTATCACCTCACCTGAAGCCTTAGGGTGTTCAGAATGGAGGTGGGGTGTCAGATCTCCGTTCATATCAAGCACCTGTGACTTCAGGGCCCTCACCAACCCTGTGTATTACAGATTCACCCCAGTGATTCGTTGCTCGTGCTGCCTTCTGAGCCCCGCTCTGATCAGCTCACCAGTTCAGCTCTGGCCACGTGCCAGTCAGTGAACACGAAACCTGGTCCCCACAGAGCTGGAAGAGACTCCACGCATAGGACATGCTCTTGCAGCATTTGTCGCTCTTTCTCCCTATGTCTTGCTGAATTTGTTTCAGATTTATACAGTATTTTAATTTTTAATAATATCCATTCCTAGGTTTTTTTCAAATAAGGAAATACACTTGGAAGTAGTTTAACTTGCTTTTGTTAAAACAGTTCAGACCGTGGAGGCAAACCAAAAGGACTTTGTTTACTTTTTATCTTTGTCACAAGTTTGAGGTCAATTGAAATTTTCTGGATGTTAACCTATGTGGGATCAAATAAACGCCTTCCGTGTAGGTGTTGTAAAGGGAAGGAGCTCGTCATGGAAAATGGGTACCGTGTTCTCATTTCTCCTAAATGACTTCAGTGATTTCTCTTGACTCTTTGTGGGGTAGGATTTTTGAGGAGCCTTTGATACAGTCCTACTTGACTGTGTGCCTGAAACTCCATGAAACTGTCTGCGGAATCACAAAAGACCAGGAGTTTTATGAGATGCCTGCCTTATCTGCTGAGATTGTTTGCAGAATTATTATACTTAAACCTCTAGTGGTAAGTGGAACACATACCCATAATGTCGTACCCAGGATAGGTATGGAATTTCAAGCGGCCTCAATTCAAAAAAGAGATAGGCTAATTCTGGGATTACTGACATGACACAGAGTGGCTGATTCCGTCATCAAATAATTGTTGGGCAACTGCTTGATGCTGGGTTCTGTTCTGTGCATGGAGGAAATTTCAGTGACCCAGAGTCTGCACCCTTGCCATCATAAGGTTTACACTGGAAAGAGGGAGGAAGGAGGAGAGGGGAGCAGTATAGAAGTTAACATACAGATTATCGGATGACTGCAAAAATTGTAGAGCAGTGCAGGTGGCCGGGATGTCAGACAAGGCCCCCGCAAAATGCATATTCTGGCGTGGTCTTTCCCACCTAACTTTTTTGCTGTATGCTGTAACTTGAATACAGTAGCAGAGCCCACACATCCGAAGGGCAACCTCAGTGCCTTTCCACAAAGGTGCACACCCTCTTTCCACCTTCTGCATCAAGCTTTAGGAAGATCCCAGCACTCTGTCCCTTTCTCTCCTACATCCCCCAGAGGTCAGCTCTCTTCTGATTTCTACCACCGCACATTCGTTTTGCCAGTCTTTGAACTTTCTACTTTTTGTGTCTGACTTTCTTCTCTCCTTGTTATGTCTTTGAGATTCATCCGTGTTGCTGCATGTGCCAGTAGTTCATTCTTTTCATTGTTGTGTGGTATTCACCCACTTGAGTTGATGAGCTTCAATTTGAAGGTGATACAAGATTTTATATTTAGACTGACGTCTAAATATTTGTTAATTTGTTACCTTGATACAAATCAGAACTGTGACGTTATTAATATAAAATAATTAAGCATATGTTTTAACTTTATTCCTTTAGTTTTTCTTCTTTAAAATATCACAGACACATTTTAAAATAAATATTATTGGTAACATGGTTGTTTTCTCCTGAAGTGGGTATTATTTAAACCATCATAGGCAGGTGCCAACTTCCAAATAAACTGTGTTTAAGCAATTTGTCAGTTATTTAGGGTATATTTTCCTGCAGAAATAACTATCTTAAATGTTGGTTGGGATCTCAGATTAGTGTCATCCACAGTATGGTCAAAATACTCTACCTGTGTCATAAAAATGAAAGGCTTTGCAAAACTAAAATGAAACAAAAGTATATGATGAGTTTTTCAAAAGCTTTTGGTTGGATGTTGATATAAAGGGTTAATAGGGTTGAAGGACACCAGATGGAGAAAAACAGGGCAAAGGTGAAGATTCTAGGGCAGATTTTCAGGCTGGGGGTTGTTCTTTATTGCCCATCTCTGCCCAGCCCTGTGCTGGGTACAGGGCACACCAGGAAGAAAAAGAGAAGGGCCTTGGCAGCAAGAACTCGTAGAGGGGCACCATCCCGTGAACGCCCAACTGCAGCACAGTGGATTAATGGTAGACTGGAGTGTCGATAAGGTGCCTTGGTGAAAAAGAGAAGGGCCTTGCGAGAGGGGCTGTTGTTCCCAGGCAGCGAGAGTACAGCCTGTGCAGAGTCTGGGAGGAGGAGAACCTCGCCGTTCCTGAGGGCCTGCAGGTAGTGGAGTGTGGCTGGAGTTGAAGCTGAGGTCTAGGCAAGGCCAGATCACAGAAGGCATGCACACCGTGCTGAAGCTTCTGGATTGTTCTAGGAGGTGCTGTGCCATTCAGGGACTCGAAGCAAGAGCCAGCATGTCCAATTTTCAGCTGAGACCTGTTACCACCCACGTGGTCCTGTGCTCCAGTCACACCTGCACCTCAGCCCACCCCTCCCACGCTGCATGGCACTCTCATCTTTCAGAGCAGGGCCGCTCCCACCTCCAGGCCCCTTTATGTACCTTGAAAACACCTTGTACTTTTCTTGTCTTGGCAGTTACCATGGTTAACGCTCATGTACTTGCCTGTCTGTCCATCTGTGGACTGTTGGTCTCTCCCACTCAGTGGTCAGCTTTTTCCGGCAGGAACGGCTTTTGCCACCACATCCCCCTAGCCTTGGAGGGAGTGACACCAACGGATCCAGGTTTTGTGGGTCCTGACATGTAATTTGTGGGGCTCTGTTGAAGAAAAAGAACACACACTAATTCAGAACTGGGAGGGCCCCTCCCAGGGCCTTGGGAGAGGCCTCTCTATAAGTGGGGGGCCTGGTGCCTGAACTCCATCCGCTTCATAAAGTCAGTGTGCTTCTGGTGAGGAAAGAGGGAAGGAGGGATAGACGAAGGGAGACAGGGAGGGACAGAGGGAGGCCTCACTAGAGCCTTGACCCCAGGGGAGAAAGGATATCTTGGGGAGAGGGCATGAAAGGAGAAGCCCCAACGAAAGAGAGCATCGATGGGAAGGAGCATGGGTTCACGTCTTGGCCAGCAGACTGGCTCTTTATGTCGCTAAGTAGCAGGGGTTTGCATGCACACTAGTTTGGGGTTCTCTGAGCTACGGGAAGCTCTGTGCCGTTGGAGTATGTCCTTTCTCACCCAGTCTGGAGAAAGTGTGCCGGCTTTTCCTCCAGTCAGAGCCGATGAGGTCTGTTCATCAGCAAGGCAGAGCTGTCATAGCATGTGGGTCGGTTACCGCAGGGTGTTAATGCCCTTCCTTCTCTACCTAGTTTCCCCATATCGCCCACTCAGACTGAACCCCGGAAAGTTCTGGGGAATTAAAGTGCTTTGACGGTGTAGGCTTCTGGCAAGGCCAGTGTGTGTGAACATGTCTGTGTAACTTAAATATCATTCCTTACCGACCATGAATGTGGGCAAGGGAAAGCAGTGTCCCGCCCACCGCCTCTGAGTCCACAGCGCGAGGACAAGTCAGCTCTCTCTCTGTCTCTCATGCGATCACAGGATTCAGCAGAAGGGCAGGGACAAGAAACTGGAAAGAAGAATTCAGTAGAAACAGTCTTCCAGAGCACTCTCACTGCTACCAGACGTTGGCTTCAGAGAATATTTAAAAGGAACATGTTCCAGAGCTCAAATCATTCCAGTGTCACTTTCACTTATCCAGAGGAAATTACGGTAAGTTTTGCTGAGAACGGAGAGACTGCAGAGTGTCCGAGCAGGGGTGCTATGGGATGGGTCCCGTCCACGTCATGAGAGCCGGGGCCACAGCTGGGTACCCAGCCCGTATTTAGTCTTTGCCAGAGCCTCGGTTCTTCGTCTGTAGAGTGGGCTGCCGCAGCTTCTCCCACAAGACCTGGAATGCAAGTGCTTGTCAGGTTGGGCACCCTGGCAGGGCAGGCAGTGGTCCCCACGCTGAGCATGGAGCTGCAGGACAGCGGCCACACATCCTGTGGGGAAGTTCGTCCCAACGCAGTGGCTTGCAGGCAGGGCCATTTGGGGCCTGTTTCAGTGCCAAGGTTGTGAGTTGGGTTTATGATGTTGGAAATGGAAGAAAGAGATGAAAGCAAGAGCTGTTTGGAAGGGAAACTAGGCACAATGGCATCTGAATGTGAGGAAAAGAGAAGTCCACCCCAAAAAGGTTGGGAGGCAGGGAGGGTTTCCAGAAAGAGAGACCTCAGGTAGAATTGAGTGCTGTGGAGGAGGGGAGGGTGAGGGCTAAGGAGACGCCATTGGATTTGGTACGTGGGGTCGGCAGTGACTCCTTGGGTGTGAACTGACAAGGGACTCAGGAGGCGGCCGGCATGGAGATCCCACACGATGGCTGGGAAGGAGAATGTACTGAAGGCTGGGGAGCTTTATGCCTGCTCCTGTTTTTCATGTGCCTTAATGTTTTCTTCCTACATCCTAGAAATTGTGAAGGTTACACCTCTTGAGCTTCCAGGGTCTTGGGGAGATCATGGAACCCACTTAAAATGATCTTTACCCTTGGCGTGAGAATTCGGTAGGTCCTGTAGATGTGGAATGCAACATCTCTGGCTTTGTGGACTGGAGCCTGTCCTGGAGGGTTGCCTACACATCATTTTCTATAAAGGAAAGACTGTTTCCTTCTTGTTCTCTTGAAAACCAGAGAGGCCATTGCCACTGAGGAGAATCCCTGAGAGAAATGATTGGCCAACAAAGGCTGATGCTCATTAGAGGTGGTGCTGTTCTCCTGGCTAGTTGCCAACATGACAGTGATGCATGTGTGATAAGTGGCTCCTTCCACACTCACTCACTTCATACACCAACCTGTGGTTTTTCCTTCCTGCATCCACCTGAGGTGGTGTAACCAGTGTCGGTGGCTCACAATTACTTTCCAGACTTTTCACGGCCTCTTAACCAGACCCAGGCCTCTATGTCTGTGTCCATTTTCCATCAAGATCGAAAGTTGCTGTACAGTCAGATCCCTCACGTAGAATAGAATATGCGCACAAAAAGGATAGAAAGTTGCACATTTCAACTTGTGACTTTTAATTAGAGGATCCGAAAAGCCTTCTCTAATTGCTATGTGAAATTTCAGACTAATAGACTTAAATCTCCCCAAAACAAAGTTGAATTATTAAATATTATTTTAAGATTCCAAATGGTAACATCTCCTAAGCATTAAGTATGAGTTAAGGATGACAGTTGGTCCAATGACATGAGAGAAAGATTCTAAGTTGAATGCAGTAATAATGGTCAAATAATAAGAAGAAAAGTGTAAGTGAGTGTCCACTCTGAGGCTGGTGCTGCTGTAATCTTTATCTTACAAAGGAAGCAAGCAAGGTGTGGGGAGATGGAGAGAGAGCAGAGGAGATGGACCCACGCTCAGGCAGCCCGGCCCCAGAGAACAGGCTGTCAGCCGGATTCCAGTCAACCTCAGAGCAAGGTGGGCGAACCGCCCAGGTTCCTAAAGACTGCTAGCTGCCAGGACGCCGTTCTAGAAAGGGAGACACTAACTCAACCAAACAGCCCTCTTGCCTCATTTAGCCAGACTTCAATGGGCTGTTCTGTTCCAGGGCTTCTTGAATGGGGTAGTCATAAAACCACACAGCTGAGACTGCGTGGGCAGAGGCAGATGGCCCTCCTGTGTTACATACTCGTCACCGTCCACACAAAGGGGAAAAGATCATTAATGCAAATGCACAGAACTCTGACTGCTCGCCCTCAGAGGGACAGAGTCTAACGTCAAAACAAAGAAAAGTCCATAAATCTTGAACTTGATTTAGAAATGTGGTTGTCGGTAGCAGACTGGCTGTGGCAGCTCTGGAGCTGTGGTGTGGGTGCTGTGAGACTGCACAGATAAACACGGGGACTGGCACGGATGGCAGCCAGGCTTCTCTCTCACGGTGCAGAAGGCACTGTGCAGAAGACCCCTGGATTGGTGGGAGCTGGAGGCCCCAGTGTGAACTCATGGTGTCAAAAGCAACAACAGCAGTTCCCAGCCCTATCCACTGAAAGGGCTTGGGGATACTGACCCCCAGGTCCATGAGCACACCCAGAGCCCCGTCATGGCTTCTAAACACCAGTCCCCATGGAAAGAAACCTGTGCTTCTGGAAGGAACAGCTGATTCCAGAGGTGGGGCAGGAAAAGTGCCAGGCCAGCCTAAAACATCCTGTAGTGCCAGAACGGAATTACATGGTGCTCTACCAATGCTCATTCCTCAGCCTTGACAACCGTACCATGGCTATGTAAGATGTTAACGTTGAGGGAAGTTGGCTGACAGTATGTGGGAACTCGCAGTACCACCTCTGCAATATTTCCATAAATCTAAAATGATTCCAGGGCTGGCCCCGTGGCTTAGTGGTTAAGTGCGAGCGCTCCGCTACTGGCGGCCCGGGTTCGGATCCTGGGCGCGCACCAACGCACCGCTTCTCCGGCCATGCTGAGGCCACGTCCCACATACAGCAACTAGAAGGATGTGCAGCTATGACATACAGCTATCTACTGGGGCTTTGGGGGAAAAATAAATAAATAAAATTAAAAAAAAAAATGATTCCATTTTTTAAAAAGGCAACAGAAGCTAGTCTCAAGGGGCTCCCACTAGCCAAATCTGGGACAATTTGAGTGTAAAAATGAGTAATATTAGGAGTGGATTATAATTTATTGATACTTTAGCCATGTGTTTGCAGGAAAAAAGGGAAAGGAGAAAGGAAAGCTGTTTTTTTTCTTTTATAGTGGAATGCCGACTAATAAGTGTAGAAGGAACAATTGCAATAGCAAACCATCCTTTTGTAATACGGTAATAATAACTGACTCATGCAAGATCCATCCAGGAATGCTGAAATCAGTAGTGAACAAGATATCCAGAGTACCCCACCACAGGTTACATTTTCATAAAAGGAGGAAAGAGCACTTTCACAGGGGAGAAATCTGGCCGAGTGCTCTCAGCCAAGGGCAGCCCTGACCCTGATGGGCAGCCCTGGTGGAACAAGGATCTCACGGGCCTCCTGGTGTAAGGCTCTTAGGAACAACAGCATCCCCAGGATACTAGGTGAGTCCTGGGAGGGTTGTTATTTGACCCTGCCTCACCTGCAAAAAGTGCATGTTCAATGTGGCTCAACCTAATCATGTTTTAATCTGAATCTACTCTTGGGAGAATTATGAGACAAAGAAGTTGGAGAGACTGTCTACAGAATGGCCGGCCTGAACTTTTCCAAGTTGTCAACATCATAAAAGAAAGAAAGAAAAAAGGCTGAGAACTCCTCTAGAAAAGAGAAGTGATGACTAAATGCTGTGTATGTCCCTAGGTTGGATCCTGAACCCAAACAGTCAGGACATTAGTGAACAACTGGAGGAATGTGGACAGGGACCTCCTCCTAGAGAACAGTGTCACACCCATGTGAACTCTCCTGAGCATGACACTTGCACCATGATTGTGTAGCAGAAGGGCCTTGCTGTTAGGAGATGCCTGCCCAAGTATCTAGGGGCCAACTGGCATGATGTCTGCAGCTTTCCTTCCAGTGGTCTGGTGGAGAAAATGCCTGTTTCTAGAGGGAGACTGAAGAGAGCAGGACAGAGATGGAGATAAAGCAGTTGTGTCAAATGTTGACAACCGGGGAATCTGGTTGAAGGTATATGGGTGTCGCTGTGCTATTCTTGCAAATTTTTTGTAAGTTTGACATTTTTCAAAATAAAACAATAGAGGGAAATCCACTCAGATTTCCAGTCACGTGGTGGAGGGACCGTAATGTTACCTGGTCCTCAGGGCCCTTTGTTTTCTGAGGCTCAGGTGGGTTGCCCTGACTCGCCACTGACACGGCTCACCAGTGACAAAGATGGGACCAGAACCCAGGTGTCCTCGTGCTCCGACCCTCTTTGTATTCCCATAATAGTCTTTGTTTTTTCATAGTGTCATAAAAAAGGCTTTTTTTTTCTAGTGTCATAGTGGCTGTCACTTCCCTGTGGGTTTTGCAGGTCTGGAGGCGGCTGGTGGAAATAAACTTCCCTGTGGAGCATGGCTGGAAGGAGTCCTTGCTGGGGGACATGGAAGGGAGGCTCAAACAGGTACTGAAAGATGGGGGATATTCTTTTCAGGGGGTGAAGGCAAGTCGATAAAACCAGACCATTAGTAACAACCAGTAAATCTGAATAGTGCATTTGAATGGACAGCCCTACTGTGCACAGGGCATGGGGTAAGTGTGACTTTGCCTTTCTGTTTCTGATCCAGTGTGAATAGTTTGGCTCCAGATGATATTCCAGAGAAGAATGAGGGAACAGGGTCTTGCCGCCAGGGGAAACTCTCCTATAGGCAGTAGCTGCAAGTGACCGGTTGGTAACAGGAGCCTTATTAAACCCAGTGACAAATGGGGAAAGCATAAAATGCTCCCCATTTTTAATGAAGGCCTGTGACCTTAGGAAAATTAGGGTTTTTAAAAACATGATATGAGAGTTTTCTATGTAATTGTTAAATGAGTCTTTTTAGGAAAACAGAAGCAAGGAAAAATCACTTATTTTTCAAAACTTACCTGTTTTTGCAAGCTGCTGTGCCAGACGCTTTTTCTGCAAAGTGGGAAAAGAGACTCTTGTTTAAATTGTAGCCTTGTTGGCCTGTTGGTTGTGGGGCAGGGAGGACTTGCTTAGCCTGGGATGGGAAGAAGGTTAAAATAATGGGGAACTGATAAAATAGCAGGAAAGTAAGAATAACTCAGGTGTTCTTATTCCATAGAGTCTGAGAGCTTAGCACCCAAAACCTCTGAAGCCCTCCTCTTCTCTTCTTGCAGGAGCAGCCTCTCTCCCAGATCTCTGTCTTCTGCAACATCCACTGGGATGTTGAAGGCTCAGAAGACAGTGTGTCGAAATGCTTTGAGAAGTGTGTCATTGAAGCTGTGAGCTCAGCCTGCCAGGTGAACAACGTCGCCCACTTGGGAATCGTGTTTGGATCCACAGCTGCCTTCTGACGGGAGCAGCTAAAGGCTATTAAGTATCTGCTGGTTCTGAGACCCTGTGCCGTCTCAAAGATTGGGCACTGGGTGTCCCCCTCCCTAGCCTAGAGGAATGGTTCTGAAATCCAGTACCCTCGACTGACTCCTTGAAATGCCACTCATCTTCCCCCTAGTACAGCTTCCCCCCTGTGTCGTAAGTCACACCCCCTCACCGGTGACCTTGAATGAAGCCATCTGGCAGGCTGCCCCTAAATGCCCTTGTTATTATCACTGCTGCGTATGCAGTGTGTTAACACTTGCTTCGTGTGCAGTAAAAGACTCCAAAAGTTGACAAAACATTTATGGAAGAAAAATGTATGAAGTTGAAAAGATTCTATCAATTCACTTAGGGTGTTTTCTGCGAAGTGGAAAAGGATTCTGCCCTGCACTGCCTCTTAGGAGCAAACCTCCAACTGTGTGTGTGTCTCTATGTATAAGATCATGTCATATGCAAATAGAGGTAGTTTAACTTCTCCCTTTCCAATCTGGATGCCTTTTCTTTCTTTTCCTTGTCTGATTTCACTGGCTAGAACCTCCAGCACAGTGTTGAATAGAAGCGGTGAGAGCGGACATTCTTGTCTTGTTCCTGGTCTCAGGGGGAAAGCTCTCAGTCTCTCACACTGAGTATGATGTGAGCTGTGCTGTGGATTTTTCTAGACACCCTTTATCAGACTGAGGAAGCCCCCTTCTTTTCCTAGTTTGCTGAGAGTTTTTTGGTCAGGAATGGATGTTGGATTTTGTCAAATGCTTTTTCTTCGTCTATTGAGATGATCGTGTGGTTTTTTTTTTTTTTTCTATTGATATGATGTATTACAGTAACTGATTTTTTATGTTAAACCAACCTTTCATCTCTGAGATAGATCCCACTTGGTCATGGCATATAATTCTTTTTATGTGGCATATAATTCTTTTTATGTGTTGCTAGATAAGGCTTTCTTGTATCCTTTTAAATATCAGAAAGTATCTATTGTAAACTAACCCAACTCTATTTTTTTACTAACTTCTGAAAGTTTTTATAAAAACTTTGAACCTAAAGAAGGAAAACATGTTGTTTCTTGGTGGGACCAAGAATTAAAATGTATATGCTGTTTGGAGGCAGCCTTTGAAAGAACTGCAGTTTAGGAATACAAAGTATGTCATGCGTTCGTGGTTTGCTCGGTATATTTGGTGTTTCTCATGATATGAATGTCCAGGAATAAGGTCAAAACTGGCAGTGAGCCAGAAGGAAGGGTGTGATTGTGGGTTGTGTGTGCACATCTCCACACCTCTGGTGTTCACCACTTTAGGAGACAATGTACCCAGGGAACGGAAATGCCCTAAGAAAAGTTAAGTATTTTACTCTTTTGCATTTTTTGAGGTTTCGTAAAACTAGTCACAAAAGATTTCTGACATGCTATTGGGTGAGTCATTTAGTTCCATTATTTAAAAACACACCAATAAAAAAACTTCCTAAATTTCCCTCTCTTTGTTCATTTTCTTATAGTCTCAGACCAGTATCCTTGGGGGAATCTCTCGTCGAGACCTGCAGAAATTTGGCACCCTTGTGTCTGCCGTGATCACTAAGTCGTGGCCGAGAAACAACGGCGAAGCTGTGGATGACCTGGATGAGGTTTTAAAGCACCTGCTCACATGGCCAGACGTCAAGCACCTCTTTAAGTTGTATGGTATGTTTACGGGGTATCTGCTCTGTCAGCTTGGTGCCTCCTGACCTGGGGTAGAGTGTTTGACCTGAGGCTCGGTAAGGATGGGTTGGCCTTTGACGGAGGAAGCAGATTGGGTGGACGGCCCCGGGAAGGCTCAGAGTAGTTTGCATTATAAATAAGAACTAATAGTGAAAGCCACCATTTGTAGAATGCCTCCTAACCACTAGCTACTGTGCCGACATAGCATCCTTGAAGCGATCCTGAAAGTCCTCCTTAAGATCCCCAGTTTTCAGATGAGGAAATTGAGGGGGAGAATGGAATGTGACTTACCCAGGGTCTCAAAGATAATAAGTATTAAGAACAAAAATGCAAACTCAAGTGTGTCTGGCTCTAAAATCCACTCTCCGTTATTTGAGATCAGTGTAAATGTCCAATCCAGTATTGATGACCTCAACCAAAAGCCCCACCCCACCCCTGTGCCCCGAGTGTTTTGTGATCAAAGAGGGGGAGATAACATCTTGCTCTAAAAATGCTATATTCAAGTTTATGTTTAAGTTGTTAGGTTCAGATTTAGTGGAAAAGCACTGGATTTGGATCTAAAAATTCCAGGTTAGATGATTTTGAGTCTCAGTTTCATGAAATTACTGGGACAGGCAGAAAAGAAGCTAAGGTCAAGGTTGTTGTAGGGATCATTGATGTGGGACTTTTATGTACATTATTAAAAGCTACTCACTTGAAAATATTATATTTGTGTTTTTTGAAATTAATAGACCTTATTTTTCAGAGCAGTTTTATGTTTACAGAAAACTTGAGCAGAAAATACAAAGATTCCCATGTTTATACCACCCCTCTGCCCAACACATACAATTTCCTCTATTAACGTCTTGCTTTGGTGTGGTACATTTGTTCCAACTGATGAACCAATATTGATACATTATTAATAACTAAAGTCCAAAGTTTACATTAGGGTTTATCTTGGTGTTGTATGGTTCTGTGGGTTTTGACAAATGTATAATGATGCATACCCGCCATGACAATATCATACAGAATAGTTTCACTACCCTAAAAATTCCCTCCACCTATTCATCCCTCTCCCATAGTTTTGCTTTTTCCAGAATGTCACAGAATTGGAATCATACAGTCTGTAGCCTTTTCAAATTGGCTTCTTTCACTTAGCAATATGCATTTGAGGTTCCTTTTGATAGCTCATTTCTTTTTTTTTTTTTTTTTAAGAAATATGTTTAACTTTATCATCATTTCCCAGATTTATTTATTTATTTATTTTTTTGTGAGGAAGATCAGCACTGAGCTAACATCCATGCCAATCCTCCTCTTTTTGCTGAGGAAGACCGGCCCTGAGCTAACATCTATTGCCAATCCTCCTCCTTTTTTTTCCCTTTTTCTCTCCAAAACCCCAGTAGATAGTTGTATGTCATAGTTGCACATCCTTCTAGTTGCTGTATGTGGGACACGGCCTCAGCATGGCTGGAGAAGCAGTGCGTCGGTGTGCGCCTGGGATCCGAACCCAGGCCACCAGTAGCGGAGCGCGCGCACTTAACCGCCAAGTCACGGGGCCGGCCCCTGCTATATTTGTTTTTAATGGCACAGATAAATTTGGTCTTCTCAGAATAATACCGGATGACCCTAGTATTACTGGGAGAGAAATCTTCTGGTGGTTAAATTAAGTATATTTAAAAATTCTGCCTTCTAAATTGAACCTAAAATTCACGTTCAAAATTTTGCAAGATAGCCAAGATATGCAGAATATAAAATCATCACACTGATGTTTCTCTGTTTCCATGCACTATGCAAATGCCTCCTTAACCATCCGGATAGCCCTTGCTGGTATGAGTGCATCCCTGGTGCAGCTGACTCTGCTGCTGCAGGCATTCTAAGACAGGGGAATTTTAAAGGAGATTATGGATAGTTTAAGAAACATTTTCGGTGTACTGAAGAGGGCACAGGTTTTAAAAACCTGATAAATGTATTTCTCTTGGCTGATTTTGGCCATTGGAGGAATCATCTTCGTGAACTAGGTCATTTGGGAAATGAATTTGGGACCTCCTAAACCTCCTGGGTGACAGCAGAATTGAGTAAAGAGATGAGCACGTCTGGAAACACGAGTAACTTCACCTGTGTTGTGTGGAAGTGGGGGCAGAGGTGGTGGGGAATCCTCGCGCTTAACAGAGACGAGGTGAGAAGTGGGCGCCCACTGTTTTGACTCTGTTCTTAACCTGATCAGGAACTGATGAGAAAGTACTAGCAAATATTACAGAGGATGGAAAGAAGTTGATGGCTACTGCTGACTCTGTGCTCACGAAAGTTACTGAGGACCTCCTGAATGGAACAATTTTAGTTGGACGCCTGGAGCTGATCATGAGCCACGTGAATCAATTTCTCGAAATCTGGCAATTAAGTAAGTATCAAGTTGAGAGACAGACTTTAGGCTGGTGAGAAATCACAAGAATAAGAAATGTCTGTGTTTGCGTGTGCATTTTGTCGAGCGGTGATCTTTGTCATCTTTATGATGAGTGACCCTTCTTCCCAGTAAGTTGACAGGATGGTTTCTGATTCTCAGGAAAATAATGGGAAAGTAATAAAATAATGAGAAAGTCAGAGTACTTGTTCTGTTTTTGTTCTGTGCTGCTGAGCACATGGACGTCTCGATCGAGTGGCTGTGCCTGCAGCCCTCCTTTCCCCTCTGCTCATCGCCCTGCAGGTGGAGCGTATTCAGAGGGAGGTGGAAGAAATGGGTTGCCATGGAAAAGGATACGTTTGTTTGTTCTACTGGGTTACTTTTTTTTTCCAGAGAGAAAAAATCTTTCACCCCAGGAGAAAAAACATGATATGAAGGAATTATTGGATTGGAGAAGGAGTGAACTGATAGTTCTAAAGAGAGAGAAAAGATACGTTGACAGTCTCCTGAAGTTGTGTGGAAGGGTGAAGGACCAGATCAAAGGTAATATTCTTAAGAATTAAAAGAAACAAAATTGAGGGGTCCCAAAGGTAGAAGGGTCAGAGTAGAAGACAATAAAAATGCATCACAAGGGGCCAGCCTGGTGGCGTATTGGTTAAGTTCTTGCACTCCACTTTGGCGGACCAGGATTTGCAGGTTCGAAAGCCGGGGGTGGACCTACGCACTGCTCATCAAGCCATGCTGTGGGGGCACCCCACATACAAAATAGAGGAAGATGGGCACAGATGTTAAGCTCAGGCTGAATCTTCCTCAGCAAAAACAAACAAACAAACAAACAAAAAAGACCCACATCACAATAGCAGCACTTTCACTTGGAGGGGAGGCTTTCTTTAATGTGTTAATTTTTAACAAAGTGATACACATCACCTTGTCGCATTTACTTCCGTACCTCTAAAGAACACACTTAAATATCTCCTTGATTTTTCAGCTTTCAACATTATCCATTGTGGAAGATGTGGATTTAAATCAATTTTTCCGGTCTCTGCCCTATACACATAACCTTTCCAATCTCCCTTTACTCCCAATTACATCATAATTTTAATTAGATCACTCTTCAGGGTTTAAATAATCACAACTGTGTAATAGTGTAATTCACTATTCACAACTGAGCCATGAAACAGACCATGATTGTCTTACATTTCTTGCACAAACTTTGTTTTCTCTAGAATTAAAACTCTCGTCCTGTGCTTTGTTTTCAATGTATTTATTTTTAATTCAATCCCAAACTCTTTACCCACTGTTTGAATTTCCTCACAGGATGATCAGTTTGCTCTTTCAGAAGGAATCCCCTCGAACTGGGGGGAAGTGGTCCTGGAGCCTTCTGTCCTGGTGTCGCCCCTTTCCTTGGGCTATCTCCTCGGTTCAGTCTGTTTCCTGGATCCCATGACTGCCCTCTCTCACTCCTGTGTTTTGTAGAACATGTCCTCTATTACTTCCCTGAGAAGGGGGGCATAGGAGGTTCCATTCTTGAGTCCTCGCATGTCTGAACATGTCTACCCTCACACTGGATGAATCATTTGGCTAGGTACAGAATGCAGATTGGAAATCCTTTTCCTTCAGGATTTTAGGTATGTTGCTCCATTGTCTCTGCAGTGTTCCTCTTGGGAAGCTGATGTGATTCTCCTCACCGATCTTTTTTTTTTTCCCTAGGAAAGATTCGCCCTGAGCTAAAGTCTGTTGCCAATCTTACTCTCTTTTTTTTTTACCCCCTGCCCAAAGCCCCGGTACACAGTTGTATATTCTAGTTGTAGGTCCTTCTAGTTCTCTTATGTGAGCCGCCGCCACAGCATGGCTACTGACAGACGAGTGGTGTGGTTCCACACCCAGGAACTGAACCTGGGCTGCTGAAGCGGAGCATGCCAAGCTTTAACCACTAGGCCATCAGGGCTGGCTCCTTACTGATCCTTTGTGTGTGATGTATTTTCTCTCTGGAAGCTCTGGAGGGTTTTTTGTCTCCCCGTATTCTGAAATTTCACAATGAAGTACCTTGGTAGGAGTATATTTTCCATCCGTTACATTGGGCATAATTAGGTGGGTCTTTCTATCTGGAAATCTAGGTCCTTGAGCTCTGGAAAACTCTTGAATTATTTAATCGATCATTTTTTCTCTTGCTGGAATTCACATTAATTGGATATTGGACCTCTTGGAATGGTCATCTAACTTCCATAATTATTCTCTCCTATTTTCCATCTCTTTGTTTTTTGCTTTGCTGAGAAATTTCCTCAACTCTACCTTCCAGCCGTTCCATTAAATTCTTGATTTCACTTCTCACATACAGTATATTTAGTTTGCAGGAACTCCTGTTTTCCTTTGAATGGTCCTTTTTCTATACTGTCCTGTTCTTGTTCCTGGTGGCAGTATCTGAGCTTGCTGAGATTATTGATATTTTTGATCTAGAAGTTTTTTTTGCATAGTTTCCTATTTCCTCCGAGTTGCTTTTATCTATCAGTATGTTTTAATATCTATTGTTCATGTTAAAGACTTTCCCCGTACATCTGGAAATTCTTGTTTTTCTGTTTGTATTAAGAGCTCTAGGCACCTGACTGAGAGCTCTGAGGGTGTGTGACCAGGCCTTCTAACGGCCTGCGTCTCTAAGTCGTCTCTCCTGGGCTCTCAGATCTCCAGTCTCCTGCCTGGAGGCTCTGGACCCGGCTGCCAGGTTTCTCGGAGTCAAGAAAGAAGAGAGGCTGGAGGCTTCTCAGCATCCGCTCCTCCTGCTTTCCGCAGGCTGCTCCTGCCTTCCCTCTACTCCTGTATCTTGTGACTTCCCCTTTCTTACTCCTTAACTTTAGCTTCCTGAGAAAGGGTGTGAGTCTGGATATGCCTTTCTTCTTCCACCTACCTGAGACCTCCAATCCAAGAACCCTCCGTGTTATCCCCTCTAGAAGATACACCACCTGCTGCTTGCCAGGGTGGAGGCGGAGCCGCCAACCTGCTGTATAGAAGGGGGTGGGGTGAAATCAACCCATTTGACTGCCCTTAAACAGACCTCCAACCCGGTCCTCCTTATGTCCTCAGCGCCTCCCAAATCCCAGTGACCCGTGCGTGTCAGCACTTCCAGGGAGTTCCGCAGTAGAAACCTGGCTGGCCTCCCACTTTGCCCACTGCAGGCTAGGGTGCCACGTTCTCAGGCCTAAGACGTCACTTACCAGTGGCCTATCTACCTTTCAACTTCCAAAATTTTGTTGCTGTGATTTCGTCTTCTATTCTTCCCAGCCTTGTCAGTTTATGACTTTTTAAAAACTCTCTATTCTGGCATTGGAGCAGGATTTGGGGAGAAGTGAAAGCAGGCACAGTTTTCAAACTGTCATCTTCACCCAGAAATTACAGCACTTTCTTTGTCGTGAAAATGGATGAACAAGCCTGGGTGTGGGTCGGGGGAAGACGTATGGATTCTCATGAGAAAAACTGCCAGCAGGCATGTTCACTTGAGTTTCCTTAAGAGCAGTGAGGAGAGTAAATACTGGGAAAGTGAAATAAAATGATATTGTGACTAGAGGTTTGATTTCTGATCTCTTGTGGTTTCAAAGTGGATTTTGGAGAGATCGAAAAAAGACATTCGGAAGACCTCTGCAGTAAAAGATTGAATGAAGCCGTGACAGTGAGGTTGTCACTCAACTTCTCAGACTTGAAGTGGACAACACATTACAACCTGAGCCCCAAAGTCCTAGAAATGGCCAGAAAGATAGACTTGCTAAAGGACAGCCACATCTTCCAGCTCTTCTGGGCAGAAGCCGCAGAGTCGCTGGGCGAGCCCGGGGAGGAGTCGGAAAGGCAAATACTTGAGCTTGAAGAGGCATACGAAGATCTGTATCATCCTTGTATCAAAAAATTTATTAAACTGTATCAGGATCTGAAGTCAGGAGAGGTCACCTTTGGGGAAATAGATGCCATCTTCAAAGACTTTGTGAGTAAATACAGCGACCTTACTTCCGACCTCCGGATCATGTGTGCCCTGGATCCCAAGGACAAAATGGATTGGATCAAGGAACGAGTTGGGCAGATCAAGGAGTACCATCACCTGCATCAGGCTGTTAACTCAGCCAAGGTCATCTTGAAGGTCAAAGAGAATTTGGACCTGACGGGTGACTTCCGTGTTCTCCACACTTTATTAAACTTCGTAAGTGTCCTGGGGTGGGGGTGGGGATCCTAGCTCACATTCCCTGGTAGCCATGGGCTCACTGGCTTTTCAAAGCTGGACAGGATGATTTTGGAGCTTCCTTCTTGAGTTCTTGTTTGTATTTGACTTGATGCCTGAATGTGCCAAAGGCTTCGTTTTCACCTTTGTTTATAAATAGTGTGACTGCTCCTTGGCTGGTGAGAGTTTTCTTGGGTCCACGTGAGGATCAAGCATTTGGGGAAGGGCAGTGAGCCTCTTTTAGGTATTTGTAGAGAGGAATCTGATCTCTTGAGGTTAGAGGAGCCACAGAGGGGTTTGTCTTGTCTGCTCTCCATTCGCAACTCCTAGTGCTGGCCAGGAGCAGCACACGATAAATTATTTCTGTTGAGTGAAAAAGTGAGGCTTTTGCTTCTGTTCTCTTAGGCGAGCATTTATAAGGTATACTGTGAGCTGTATTGTAATATAGATAGGCATGATGATGATCAAAATTTAGCACAAAATTTGGAGTTATGCACAGTTAAGCTTGTATATCCCAGCAGCGTGTTCTTGAGTAGGCCACTGCTCTGGGCCTTCGTTTCTTTACCTATAAAACAGGAAAAATAACAACACGTACCTGGCAGGGTTCTTGTGTGAGTTGCTTAGCAGAGTGCCAAGTACAGAGGAATAGTAGTTACTGTTGATCGAGGGGGACAGCAGTGGAGGCTTTAGCGTCCAGTTAAGAGATAAGAGCTTCGTGTGCCTGTTGTCAGATGGTCAGTGTTGCTGCTCAGACTCTGGGTTCCAGGTGACCGGTTCCAGCCCACAGTAGAGCCCTGTTTTGCAGACTGACGGCTTTGAGGACTTTCGCCACGAAAAACTGGACCAGATCAGCCAGCAGCTTATCCGTGCCAAAAAGCTGTTGGAGGACCTCAGTGAGAGCCGGTGCCAATGTCTGCGGGAACTGTACCTAAGGAAGGAGTTAATTACCTGGGTCCGGGAGGCTCTTGGAGGTAAAGTCCATTGTTGAGGTTGCCAGGGGTCTGGAGAGTTTTCAGATGGCTCACAGGGTGGCTTTCCTAAATGTACAGGCAGTCCCTCCCCTTGATCGCGTGCCGTGTGAAGGACAGACAGACATCCCCCTTCTTTAGGCCGATGTGCAGTGTGTGCCTCATCGATTGGTGGTAGAATTTGTATCAGGACAATATTTCTCTTGTTCTGGCGTAAAAACTTTCCTTGGCTACTTTTTTCTCCCGCTGGATCTTACTGTGAACGGCTAGGGGTCATTTCCTAAAAATCTTGCCCCCGTCAGCTTTTTCCTTAGGTGGATTTTTACAGGAGGCCACGGCGAGCTCTCGCTCAGGGAGATTCTGTTATGTCAGCTCGCTGGGATGTGCATTTCTTTTCCAGCTGAGGGTTTGGCAGCCTTTTTACCTCTGTGGCGTAGGTGCCTTTGGCAGAGTTAATTTGTAGAGGGAGGAAACAGAGGTGAGGAAGACAGGCAAAGGAGACGAGGAAGAGGGGAGGCGGGCAGCACTGGTGTGTGAAGGGGGCTGGGCTGCCTGCCTCTCATCCAGGGCCTCACTGCTCTCAACTATGAGTTCCTTGGCCCACTATGATGCACATTCTTTGATGAGTAAGTAACCCAGCGAGAATTATCTCCGTTTTTTATAGTTAGCTGTCAGCATAGTATATACCAGCTGAACCTGTTTCTTTTTGTTTAAAATGGTGACGTCATGTGGATTAAATGAAATAAGGCACACAAAGCCTCGCGGTGTGCCTGGATGTGGCTGTTGTTCAGTAAGGTCAGGTGTTGGTTAGTGGTATCGACATAGACGGCAAAGAAAAAGGTGGTCCAGGTTTTTATTGAAAGCAGAAAGTGGGTAAAACCCTAAAAGTCCACTAAATATCCATTTATAGCTTCAATAAGGATTCGTGTCCCAGGTTTGAGTCTTGAGCCATCATGGAGTAGCCCCGTGCTCACCTGTCTCTTCTTGCCCCAAGGCATCAACGAACTCAAGGTGTTTGTGGACTTGGCTTCCATCTCAGCGGGTGAGAATGACATTGACGTGGACCGGGTGGCCTGCTTCCATGACGCGGTGCAGGGCTACGCTCCTCTGCTGTATAAGCTGGACACGAGTGCAGGTTTCGATGAGTTCATGGAACAGCTAAAAGAACTGTGGAAGGCTCTGGAAAATGACGAGCACCTGCCCAGTAAACTGGTAAGTTTTATCTCTGGCTCCAAAGCAGATTAGGTTTCATAGAGCATTGCTTAGCAACACTGGGGGCGTGACGGCGGTTATCACACACCCACATGGTAGGTTTTTATGCAGCCGTTGAAAATGATGTTTAAAAGCAGTTTTTCTTCATAACATGGGAACGCTTTCTCTATCTCGTCGTGTTAGAAAGTAGGATACAAAATTGCATGTAAATAAGAGGAATTTCTGCTATGCAAAACGCATGTGGAAAAAAAGACTGAAAGTAAATATGCTAAAATGTTGCCGGGGGTTTTCTCTGAAGGATGGTAATTGTTACTTAATTCTGTATACTTTTTGATATTTTCCACAATTGGTATGGAATAACTTTTTATCAGAAAAAATTTACATTTCAATTTAAGTGAACCATGTACACCAGGGTCTGAGCAGACCCATATTAGGTCGCTTGCCTAACGAGCAGAGAGATTGTCAGGGCAGCTGGAGCTCCATGAGGGGTGAGAGAGGAAAATAAATGGAATGAGCAGATAGGGCTGTTCTCATTTTTTTTCTGCTGGAAGCTCATGTCCAAACAAAAAGACTTTGTTGAAGATTTTTCCTTAATTCTTCTGGTTGGACTTGGGGACTCCAAAAAGACACTTACAACGTAAGGCTCCACAGCCCTGTTATGTCAGCACCTCCCCCCTCCACCTGGGGGCCCGGCAGAATGATGCTTTCCCAAGGAGAGCTGGGTTTGTGCCTGTCCCCCCATCCATGTCTCCATAAATAGAAGCTGAGTACCCTCCACGTGCTAGCCAGGGCACCAGGCACTGGTGGGGATGCGGGCAAACAGCCCATTACAAAACAGCAACACCGGGTGACCAGTTTCCCGAGAGGGACAGACCAAAGCACACAGGAGCCGTGGGCAGCGGGTGAGGAAGTCGTGCCCTGCGGGGTGACTGTGCGCCGAGCCCCAAGAAGGGGAGGAGGAGTTCACTCCTCAAAGGCACAAGTGGGAGAAAAACGAAGGAGGAAGAGAAAGATGATTGCTCACACCAGGGCCCGTTTTCTCTCCTTCTGTCCCAACAGCGTGACTCTGCCAGGAACTTGGAGTGGCTGCAAACAGTGAGGGAAAGTCATGGGTCTGTTGAACTCTCATCCTTGTCGCTGGCAACAGCAATCAACAGCAGAGGCATCTATGTGATCAAGGCACCCACAGATGGCCAGAAGGTGAGCCCCCCCACATTCCAGGCACAGCTGGAAGTGGTGCTTACAGGCTGCTGTAAATTGAGGGGTTTCTGGCTCCAGTAAAGCAACTCCTAAATGTGTGCTATTCCACAGATTTCCCCAGACACGGTTCTATGTTTAATCCTTCCTGAGAGCCACGGGGGCCATCAGGAGGTGCGAGACTACTCCTTAGAAGAGCTGAAGGAGCTTTTAAACAAATTGATGCTGATGTCTGGCAAGAAGGATCACAACAACGCTGAAGTAGAGCTATTTTCCGAGGTGAGGATTTGTGTTTAGGTCAGAGCGAAGCAGGTATAACCTCATCTGTTTGGGCCGAGGACTCTCGCTGCTGAGTTGCCTGAGAACGTAAGAAGGATTTGAGTTTGGATTTAATTGATAGGAATCACTCGACTCTTAAATCCGTGGCGAGTGGAGCCCTCGGGTCTGCAGAAAATGCCTGTGATCCAAATTCACGACCCCAAGCCAGGTCTGAGGTATGACAGGCCCTTTGGTTCGCAGTTGCTTCTTAAGATCCACAGACTGAATTGGCAGTTAATCTGCTACATTGGAGAGGAGAAAACCCAATGGATCGTTCTTAGAAAGAAACTTAAATTGCTTCACTTATTCTGTAAATTAGCAAGAATCCAAAAAACCTTAAAGATTTGGATGAGCATCCTTCATCAAAATCAAAAGTAACCATATTGATAAAAAGGCATGTTGGTTTATGTAACAATCTCTGAATTTTATTACGGGTTTTTTCTTTAAAGTTCATTTGTGCTTTATAAATGATATCCTTTATCTTTACAACTTATCGCTTCCTAAAAAGAGTCCTCTTATGAGGCCAGTTATGTAAATGAGGAAGGAAGCCCTGCTGTGATCAATCTCAAATGTTTGAGGTCACACAGTGAACCATGGGAAGATGTGAACCCAAGTCCTTCAAATTATAGATCTGTCTGTGTTATTCTAGACTAGTGTGTCGCCTCTCTGATACAGCTCTGTGATTTCTGCCTCCTGGTTCCATTTGCAACAGGTGTTTTGCAATGTGCAGAGGCTCGTCCAGTCCTTTATAAACCTTTACTCTGCTGGAAACATGCTGTTCAGGGCCTGGATGGCAGAGGTGTACTGCACCCCCCGGGAGGGCGTGTCCATCCGGATGGACTTCCGCTTGGGGCTGGTGAGCCAGCTCACGGAGAGCGGGCCGGTCGCTGAGCTGCTGGAGGCCCTCTGCAGGCAGATGGAGCACTTCCTGGACCGTTGGAAGAGATTCGTGACAGAGAAGCGAGCTGAGCACTTTTACCTCAACTACTACACAGCTGAGCAGCTGGTTTACCTGAGCACAGAGCTCAGGAGAGAGACGCCCAGCGACACCACCCTTACCATGCTGTCCTTCATCAAAAGTGACTGCACCCCAAGGCACGTCTTCCAGGCCTGCAGGGGGCCCGATGGCAAGGCCACCAGACACCAGGAGAGGACAGTGATTGAAGAGTTGCCGCTGATGCTCTCTTCCAAGTTCAGCCTGTTTGACAAGCTGAAGGTCATCATGGAACAGTCGATGACATGCATGAGTGTCTTCCTGCCTCACTGCCTGGAGCTGGAGGGCCTTGGCCGCTGTCTGGCCCACCTGGCGAGGCTGGGTGGGCCTCCCGTGGAGCGGCAGCTCCCAAAAGGCCTGCAGGTCGGCCAGCCCAACCTCATCGTCTGTGGCCACTCAGAGGTGCTGCCGGTCACCCTGGCCGTCTACATGCAGACCCCGAGCCAGCCCCTGCCTAGCTATGACGAGGTGCTGCTCTGCACCCCGGAAACCACGTTTGAGGAGGTGGCGCTGCTCCTGCGCCGCTGCCTGACCACGGGCTCCCGGGGGCACAGGGTGTACAGCCTGCTGTACGCAGACCAGCTGAGCTATGAGGTGGCCTGCCAGGCGGAGGTGCTCTTCCAGAGCCTGTGCACGCAGCGCCACCAGGAGGACTACCAGTTCGTGATGGTCTGCGACTGCGAGCGGGAGCACTGCTACCTCCCCTCGGCCTTCAGCCAGCACAAGGTCCTCGTCACCCCCCAGGCGCCCCTGGAGGCCATCCAGGCCTACCTGGCACAGCATTACCGGGTCCCAGAGCAGATTCCTTCAGCCGCCACCGTGTTCAGGGACCGGATGTGTGTTGGGATCATGACCTCGGAGAGAGCGGGTGTTGGTAATGAGAGCTGTTGGGGTGGATGGGTCCCACATGTCCTGGGACCACCTGATGGCCATTCCCTGCCCAACGGGGGGTGACTCAGATGAAGCCCGTGTGCAAAGGGGGAAACTGAGTCCCAGGGAGGTTTGGCTCATCTGAAGTTGTAAATCCGGGCTCGTACTGGAATCTCAGGCAATTCCTGGGAGCTAAGCCATCCTCCTCTATGCAAGCTTCTCCATAGTTTCCTCTTCCTTTGTAACTACATGGGCCACTTTGGGGTTGATGGGGTTGTAAGAGCAGGAGGAGGTACACAGTCACCCCTCAGTATCCTGGGGTATTGGTTCCAGGAGCGCCATGGATACCAAAATCTGTGGATGCTCAAGTCCCTTAGCCGGCCCTCTGTATTCGCGGGTTCTGCATTGGTGAATTCAACCAACCACGGATTGTAAGCATGGTAACACTATCTGCTGATGGTTGAATCCGCGGATGCGGAACCTGCCGGAAACAGAGGGCAAACTAATTTTTTGTCTTGAGAAGAAACAAATGCCTCTTGACCCTCGCTTCAGTCACCATCATGATTCCCTTGAAAAGAAATAGTGATTTCCATTCTGTTGACTTTATCCCATTAACAATACTACCTCCTGTGGGGATGAAAGTCGGTCTTCCCCCTCCCCCAGGAAGCAGGCTGTGCTGTTACATTCCTCGTACTTAGATTGCTGTCATCAGTCCCAGGGAAACAGCAAGGACAGTGAGCAGGTAATGGTGTGGAAATTTTCAAGTTCAAAAGTGTATTCTTTAGTCTGATGTTACGTTGCATGAGTTTTGAATTTTGTGCAGAGAGGTGACTTGAAATGAATCTTTCCGGATTCTCTTACTCTTTGTCCACAGCCCTGGCACCTAATTTCCATATTTTAACGTTATAGGAAAGTCTCTCTACGTGAAGAGGTTATATGGCAAACTGAAAATGAAGTTTCATGGGAAAAAAGTGCCTCTAAAGATTATTCGATTGATCGACCCTCAGGTGGATGAGAATCAAGTCCTGGGCTCTCTGCTGCCCTTCCTGGATGCCCAGTATCAGACAAGACCCATGATATTCCACTTCGATGTGACCTCTTCTGTAAGTGCCCCAGGGTTCCAGCTGAGTGGCCATGTCCTGCCCTGCCTCCTTCCCCATATAAAGAACTTCTTCCTACGTGTATTGATGTTCAGTATCATTGTATCAAAGAACACAGGAAGAGGGCCCTAGGGTTGGGAGAATGGATCGTCCTTGTGTAAGTATTTGCAAACCCAAGCAATTCTGTCTGTAGGTGCAAACCGGAATTTGGGTGTTTCTTTTCAAACTCCTCATCCTACAGTACTTGATGGATATAAATGGGAAAATGTGGCGTCGGAACCCGTGCCATTTATATATCATTGAAATCTTGGAAGGGAATTCAGCACTGCCAAAGAGGTCTTCAAAACTGGTGTGTATCGCAGGCATTCCACAGTACTGTGGGGGAGGGGCTTTGATAGGTCTTTGTGATTCCCCACTTTTGCCTTTGCAAAGCAGCTGAGCGCAGTGCCAGTAAAGGGAGGTTTCATCGGCCCTGTTGGAAGAAGAGTCGCCAGGCCACTTGTGTGCCCAACCTGGGAGGTAGCACATGCCACATGCGGGCCCTGGCTCTCCATACCCAGGCTCCCGAGGGAGGATAGTAAAGACACATCAGTCTTTAAACTTATCTTTTTAATGTCTGCAATAAAAATACTCTTTTACTAGTTAGCAGTGTCTTACATTTGTTTTGTTCAATTAGGGATTGCTGCTGTATGTCTTGGTTAAATTCCAGCTATGCTCTGATGCAATAAATTCATCTACTGAGAGAATACCATCTTTCTTAATGCCAGCCAAGATGGGAAGGAGACTTTCATCACATAAATTTCTTAACAAAAAGGAGTTTTATGCTGTCACACACACACGCGCGCTTAATGGAGTGATTTAGTTTCAGGAGGTGGGGTAGAAAAGGACTTCCTGATTGAGGGTGCAGCTCACACAATGCCTGAATGTGCCAAAGACAAAAACCTATGCAAAGAGAAGTCTATAGAAATCACTTTATGAAAAGTGATTTTTTTGTGTGTGTGTGAGGAAGATCAGCCCTGAGCTAACATCCATGCTAATCCTCCTCTTTTTGCTGAGGAAGACCGGCTCTGAGCTAACATCTCTTGCCAATCCTCCTTTTTTTCCCCAAAGCCCCAGTAGATAGTTGTATGTCATAGTTGCACATCCTTCTAGTTGCTGTATGTGGGACGCGGCCTCAGCATGGCCGGAGAAGCGGTGCGTCGGTGCGCACCCGGGATCCGAACCCGGGCCGCCAGTAGCGGAGGGCGCGCACTTAACCGCTAAGCCACGGGGCCGGCCTTGAAAAGTGATTTTTCATAACGGTCTTTCCAGCGTAGACCATGTGGAGGGTTGAAATGGAAAAGCAATTTTTAGGAAATTCAGTCGTGATCAGTTTATTCGTGTCTCTCCTTTCCAGAACACACGTGCCCCCCAGATCAGATTTCTTGACATCTTCCCAAAAGTCACCTGCCGGCCTCCCAAGGAAGTGATAGACATGGAGCTGAGTCCTGAGCAGAGCCACAGAGAGCCAGGAATGGATCAGGAAGAGTTCTGCAGCGAAACTTTCCAGAGACCTTACCAATATTTAAAACGGTTCCATCAGAAACAAAACCTAGACACATTCCAATACCAGGAACGCTCTGTTGAAGGCACCCCTGAGGAATGCATCCAGCATCTCCTGATTTACTGTGGGGTGATAAACCCATCCTGGTCAGAACTCCGGAACTTCGCCTGTTTCCTGAATTATCAGCTCAAAGATTGTGAGGCCTCTCTCTTCTGTGATCCGAGTTTTACTGGAGACACACTGAGGGGCTTCAAGAACTTTGTGGTTACCTTCATGATCTTCATGGCAAGAGATTTTGCCACACCAACTCTTCACACATCTGACCAAAGCCCAGGGAAGCACATGGTCACCATGGACGGGGTGAACGAAGAAGATCTAGCCCCTTTTTCTCTCCGAAAGAGGTGGGAGTCAGAGCCCCATCCGTACGTGTTCTTCAACAGTGACCACACATCCATGACATTCATAGGCTTCCATTTCCAGAACAACCAGAATGGCAGTGTGAATGCTATCGATCACTTGAGTAGGAAGGTAATCAAGAAGGACGTCATGGCGATGGAACTGTACCAGGGGCTGTTGCTTCAGAGGGTGCCCTTCAATGTTGACTTTGATAGGCTGCCCAGACATGAGAAGCTTGAAAAGCTCTGCCTGGCGTTAGGGATCCAGTGGCCCATTGACCCTGATGAAACATATGAGCTCACAACGGACAATATGCTTAAGATCCTTGCCATTGAGATGCGGTTCCGGTGTGGGATCCCCGTTATCATCATGGGAGAAACTGGCTGTGGGAAAACCAGACTCATTAAATTCCTTAGTGACCTGCGGCGTGGGGGTGCTGATGCTGAAACCTTGAAGTTGGTCAAGGTCCATGGGGGAACAACAGCAGACATGATCTACTCCAAAGTCAGGGAGGCGGAACGACTTGCCCTCCTCAATAAGGACCAACATCAGTTGGACACCATCCTGTTCTTTGACGAAGCCAACACAACAGAAGCTATAAGCTGTATCAAAGAAGTCCTGTGTGATCGTACAGTGGGTGGCGAGCCCCTGGCTAAGAACTCTGGCTTGCATATCATAGCGGCCTGCAACCCTTACCGGAAGCACTCCCAGGAGATGGTCTGCCGCCTGGAGTCGGCTGGTTTGGGCTACAGGGTTAGTGCAGAGGAGACGACTGACAGACTTGGCTCCATCCCTCTGAGGCAGTTGGTGTACCGAGTCCATGCTCTGCCACCGAGCCTGATTCCTCTGGTGTGGGACTTTGGACAGCTGAATGACACCACAGAGAAGCTCTATATCCAGCAAATTGTCCAGAGACTGGTGGACTCCACGGCAATAGATCAGGACGAGACTCATGTGATCGCAGAAGTGCTCTCGGCCTCTCAGGGTTTCATGAGGAGAAGAGACAATGAATGCAGTTTCGTTAGCCTCCGGGATGTGGAGCGCTGCGTCAGAGTTTTCAGATGGTTTTACGACCACAGTGAGATGCTCTTGTCAAAGCTGGACTCCTTTCTCTGCAAGTCCAATGTTGACAGAAACGACCTTGAGAGAGATCCTGTCCTCTGGTCCCTGGTGCTGGCCATCGGGGTATGCTATCACGCCTCTTTAGAAGAGAAGGAGTTGTATCGGAGAGACATTTGCAGGTTCTTTCCAGAACCCTATAATGACAGCAAGGTCATTCTGGATGAGATAACTCAAACACAGGATCTTTTTCTGAGTGGTGTGTCTCTGAGGAAAACCATCGCCAAGAACTTGGCTTTGAAGGAGAATGTCTTCATGATGGTTATTTGCATTGAGCTTAAGATTCCTCTCTTCCTAGTGGGGAAGCCTGGCAGCTCCAAATCTCTCGCCAAGACCATAGTGGCAGATGCCATGCAGGGCCAGGCCGCTCCCTCGGACCTCTTCCGGAGCCTGAAGCAGGTCCACCTGGTGTCCTTCCAGTGCAGCCCCCATTCCACCCCACAAGGCATCATAGGCACCTTCAAGCAGTGTGCCCGCTTCCAGCAGGGGAAGGACCTGCAGCAGTACGTCTCCGTGGTGGTGCTGGATGAGGTGGGACTGGCAGAAGACTCACCCAAAATGCCCCTGAAGGCTCTGCACCCCCTGCTGGAAGATGGGTGCATTGAAGACGATCCTGCTCCCCACAAAAAGGTTGGCTTCATAGGCATTTCCAACTGGGCCCTGGACCCTGCCAAGATGAACCGGGGTATTTTTGTGTCACGTGGCAGCCCCAGTGAGAAAGAGCTCATAGAGAGCGCCAAGGGAATTTGCTCTTCAGAGCCCCTCGTTCGAGAAAGAATCCAAGGATACTTTGCATCCTTTGCCAAAGCCTATGAAACAGTATGTCAGAAACAAGACAAGGAATTCTTTGGGCTTCGCGACTACTACAGCCTCATCAAAATGGTCTTTGCCACGGCAAAACATTCTAATAAAAAGCCTTCCCCACAAGATATTGCACAGGCCGTCCTCCGGAACTTCAGTGGCAAAGATGACATCCATGCTGTGGACATTTTTACAGCCAATTTACCTGAGGCAAAATACTCGAAAGAAGTCAGCACCATGGAGCTGATCAAGCAGAACATGTGCGGTGATCTTCAGAAGGCGTCGGGCAGACAGCTGGAAGACTCCGAGTCCCGATACTTACTGGTGCTGACCAGAAACTATGTGGCCCTGCAGATCTTGCAGCAGACTTTGTTCAGTGAGGACCAGCAGCCAGAGATTATTTTTGGTTCCAGTTTTCCCAAGGACCAAGAGTACACCCAGATCTGCAGAAATATCAACCGAGTGAAAATCTGCATGGAAACTGGCAAGATGGTGATACTGCTCAATCTGCAGAACCTCTACGAGAGCCTCTATGACGCGCTCAATCAGTACTACGTCTACCTCGGGGGTCAGAAGTACGTGGACCTTGGTCTGGGGACCCATCGGGTCAAATGTCGGGTTCACCCAGACTTCCGCTTGATAGTCATTGAAGAGAAAGATGTCGTCTACAGACATTTTCCCATTCCACTTATTAACCGGCTGGAGAAGCACTATCTGGATATCAACACCGTTTTGGAGAAATGGCAGAAAACCATCGTGGAAGATCTCAAGATCTGGGTGGAGAAATTCATAGATGGGAAGGCAGATCAGTTTCTAGTCAGATACAAATACAGCCCTTCTGACGTCTTCATTGGCTACCACTCAGACACTTGTGCCTCTGTGGTGCTCCAGGTCATAGAGAGGCTAGGTCACAGGGTCTTGACTGATGAATTCTACCAGAAGGTATCTGAGGAGGCCAAGCTGGTACTGCTGGATTGTGCCACGCCTGATGCTGTGGTTCGGCTGAGGGCTTCCTCACTGGGCCTGTTCACTGCACAGACTCTGTCACAAGAATACTATTACAAGCAGCAACATAACTCCTTTGCAGACTTCCTTCAGGCTCACCTTCACAGGATGGATCTGGGACGCCATGCTGTCTTCACAGAGGTGACTATCTCTGATTTTACCCTTATTATCCTCTTTCACCTCAGAGTCCTTGAATCCCTAGTGTCCAGAATTCAAGATTCTTTTTCAAGTCAGTGTATAGGAATCATAAAAGGATATGTTGAGACTTTTGGTTCCTCTCTATGTTAAGTATGAGTGCCTGTTTCCGTGCAGTGCTGTGCACATAGTAACACTGTATACAGTGTTCACTTCAACATATGAAGAACCACATTTGAGTACTGCCTGAGGGCACTGGGGATATGAAAATGAATTGGCACAGTTCTTGTCCTTGGTCAGCACACAGTGTAAGGTGCAAAGACAGACCCACGAATGGGAGCCATCAGTATCATATGATGATGCCGTCCACAGAGGCAAAGAGGAGCAGCCCGGACCAGGATAGGTCAGGTGACGTCCTCATTGAGAGATGACCCTCAAGATGATTGTGAAGGATGGTGGGGAGAGTGTTATAGGCAGAGGGCCCTACTTGAGGAAAGGTGTTGGGGTGTGAAACAACACAGTCTGCAGGAAACCAGGAGTTGATCATTGATGGAGCTTAAAGTTCAAGCTCGTGAGTGCCAAGAGATGGGGATGAGGTGTAGCTGGAGAGACTGCATGGAGGGCCTTGTCAGCCGCACTAAGGAGATTGGTCTTTTCTATACAGAGGGGAGTGATGGAGGTATGTGTGTTGAAATGTGTCTCACTGCCTGGGAGATGGGAAAAAAGAAGTTTGATAACAGACTATCATAGAAAAGATAAATCAGTAGGGAGGCTGCTGTATCAGTTCAATCAAAGTAGAGGAATGGTTGGATGGATGGAACTGAGAAATAGTTAGGATGTAAATTGGCAGAGCTAACAACTGATTCCATATTGAGGCTGTGAGAGATGGAGGAGCGACTCCCTGGATTCTTCTTTGGATGGCTGGAGGTTTGGTTAATCACAGTCCAGGAACGAACAAGAAGTTTTGGGGAGGCAATAGTGAATTGCATTTGGGATAGGCTTTGATGCCCCTGTTACAGCCAGGCAGACATGTCTGTCATGCAATTGGATATAGGAATCGGAAGCTCGGTGGTAAGGCCAGCCTGGAAATAGAGATTCAGGAGCTACCATATCAGTACGCCCTTAAGGAGTGTTTTGGTTGCACTGTGCAGTGTGATCCAGTGGTTGAGGAGAATTGATAACAGCTGTGAGAGGGAAGGGGCGTCAACAGCTAACTCCATCTGAAAGCATGAAGCAAGATTGCGAGGGAGAAATGGCATTTGTGCTGAGCCCTAGGAACTCATCAGAATTTCCAGTAGGGACTAAAGCAGGAAGAGACACTGGAGTCTACCAGGGAGACTTGAAGGCGTCTTAGGGACAGGGGGAGTCTTCTCCCCAATATCTTTTGATTCCGTAGTTTCTATTTTCCTCAGCACTGCCTTGGTTTTAAAAAACTCCTCTGGGTTTGGATTCTTTTCTGTCTGTGCACAACTGCACAATGCTGAGCCCATAGAAAATATTTGCTAAATAGCCTCATGTTTCTAGGATTTTAACCTAGCAGACGTGCAACCTTTCCTTGAATTCTAGCAAATAATTTGCATTTCCTGGCTTTGCAGATCACCACTTTCTCCAGACTGCTAACCAGTCGTGACTGTGAAATTTTAGAATCAGAAGTAAAGGGCAGGGCTCCAAAACCCACGATCCTGTGGCTGCAGCAGTTTGACACTGAGTACTCGTTCCTCAAAAAAGTCCGGTGAGGGTCCCAGCCTTCCCCCGCCCTCCATCCGCAGCCCTGACCACTTTGTATTTCACTTATGGTTGTAGTAGCCACTGCTGTCCCCAGCACTGGATAGTGAACGTCAAGGACATGTGACCCTGAACAGGGTAGTTGTTAAATCCTCCCCCTCATCTGTTATCTTCCGCGTAAACGTCCTTCTCTGAAACCAGCGTCCTTGTGTCTCGTTAGGAGGCATCTATTAGTCTTTCTCTACTGGGTTGTCTACCAACCTTGCAGAGAAGAACCCACCTCAATAGTGTTTTTCTATATACCTTTATGCTTCCATATCACTTTGGGGAATTTTATCACCCATTTTTTAGGACAGATAACTCACTTGGATAATTTCCTTTTTCTTTCAGAAACTGCTTAGCTAACACAGCCAGATGTAAAATCCTCATTATTCAAACAGATTTTGAAGATGGAGTTCATAGCGCTCAGCTCATCGCCTCAGCTAAGTATGTTTTTGTTATTTCTCTCAGAAACTACATAGGAAACCCAAAATTTATTCAGGAGCTCCTAAAGAATTTCTTCCCTAAAAACAGTATAGTGTGAGAAGAAACATAGAAATCAAAATAAAAATGATTATCCCTTTTAATTCCCCCAAATGTGGACTAGAAAAAATGAAGAAAGAGAAACAGAGAGAAAAGACTAATAACAATACAAAAATGGTAAAATGCAAGAAGTGTAACTAATAAAATATTAGGAGGCTAGTAAAGAGTATCCTTGAGGGCCGGCCCCGTGGCTTAGCAGTTACGTGCGCATGCTCCGATGCTCGCGGCCCGGGTTCGGATCCCGGGCGCACACCTGCGCGCCGCTTCTCCGGCCATGCTGGGGCCGCATCCCACATGCAGCAACTAGAAGGCTGTGCAGCTGTGACATACAACTATCTACTGGGGCTTTGGGGGAAAAAAAAAAATTAAAAAAAAAAAAAAAAGAGGAAGAGTATCCTTGAAACATATGTTTGCAGGCATGTTTTAATAATGATTAATTTTAAATTATGCAATGTGAATTTATTGCAAGTTCAAGGGCAGTAACAGTATGTAAATGCTTTCATTTGTATTCATTTGACATTTTCATAGTGTTTGTGGTGGAAATCTGATACTTTTAGAATTAACTATGTTCCTGTATTACTTAATGTTGAAATGCAAGTGGTTTCTGGGCCTTTTAAAGCATTGGAAGCCATATTTCATATCATGCTTGTCTGTTCACAGAACCCTGTTTCTTGAAATGGAAAGTTCCACTAGCCTCACCCTTAGTAGCAGTGGGGCGAGCCCATCAAGTATTACAAGATAGGGTTCCTGACTGATAAAGATGCCTCTTCAAAGCAGAGGGACACAGGAGTGGGGAGGAAAATGAGCCTACTACGAGAGAACTTGCTCTCATTTTCTCGTAAGAGAAGATAATAAGCATGAAGGTGTGAAATTTATTTAAGCCTAAAAAACGTGAAATTGAACATGACAGCTCCTAGGACACCCTTCAGCCATTTCACAACTTTGGTTTTGTTTATTTGCTTGGTTTTGTTTTTATTTGTTTTGTCTTTGCTTGCTTGTTCTTAAAATAGGTATTCTGCTATAAATGAAATCAATAAGATACAAGGAAACAAGGACTGTATCTTAGTCTATTTCATCACCAAACTGTCCCGGATGGGAAGTGGAACGTCCTATGTCGGATTTCATGGAGGTAGGACCAAAATATTAGTGAACATATTTGTTTAAATTATGTTGGAGTTATTTCTAATTTGTTCCTATGGTGTACAAGTCTGAAAATAAAATATTAATGTGAATCACAGCAATATTCATTTCAGATGCAATTCGATTTCTTACCACTGATTGCTGCAAAAAGCACTTATCTTTGGACTTGCTGCTTCAAGATACAGCATTTCCTTTATTAACTTGTAGATGAACACTTGAGTAGTCTCTCTGGTTCTGCCTTTTATTATATGGCTAATGCAGATATGATGTTCCCGACTAATGCTATTATGCACTGATACTTTATGCCTGTTTTTTGCGGGGGGAATGCTGTCTTAAATCTCTCACTCTCTTTTTTTTTTCTGAGAAATGAGTCACCAAATGTTTATTATATAAGAAAATTGGTATTCTAGAAATGGCAAATAACAATTTCTTTTTATAATTTCATAGACCATGGGAGGCCGACCTCGCCACTGTCCCACACCCCTTTACTAATTACGATAAAATAAGTATAATAACAAATATGTAAAAGAGTCATGGGCCTTCTTCAGATATCCTTTACAAGTCAGTTATTTCAATTCTTTTTTTTTTTTTTTTAAAGATTTTATTTATTTTATTTTTCCCCCCAAAGCCCCAGTGGATAGTTGTGTGTCGTAGCTGCACATCCTTCTAGTTGCTGTATGTGGGACTCGGCCTCAGGATGAACGGAGAAGTGGTGCCTCGATGCGCACCCGGGATCCGAACCTGGGCCACCAGCATCGCAGCGCGCGCACTTAACCACCAAGCCACAGGGCCGGCCCTATTTCAATTCTTAACACTGATATTTATATTGAAGTTATTGACATATCTAGCATGAGTCAGGGGGTTCCGTGTATAGTCAAAGGTTTAGACTTTAGGATACAAATCATTCATTTAGCAGCAGTGTATTTAAACATCAGGACGTGTGGTGTATCCCTACTTATGACTAACAAAAAGACCAGAAAGGACGTGAGAAGATTCTGGGTGGCTTTATTCTCCACAGGGCTCTGGCAGTCTGTGCACATCGATGACCTCCGGAGATCCACCGTCATGGTTTCGGATGTGACTAAACTGCAGAACGTGACCATCAGCCAGCTGTTTAAGCCAGAAGATGAACCTGAGTGTAAGTCGTGAGGACGAGTCTTTGGGGATGCAGGATGGTAGGAGTGCAGCCAGGAGGTGTTGAGGTGTGCTGCAGTGCGCTGTGGGGAGAACAGGGCCGCCATGTGTTCGTCACCGTGGAGTCCTAGCACCTGCCCCTCTGCACGAGCCAGGGACGTGTTTCCTGAACTGACTGATGACTAGTCCGAGGGCACCTTCTACTGCTTTCCAAGGCCAAGTAGAAGGCAATATTTCCACATGAAAAAGCAGGTCTTTGTGGATGCGTAGGCCGTGGAAGTGAGTGCCTGTAGAATGCAAACATCAGAGTCTGTCTGCCTTGGTTCCTGTATCAGCCGTCTGAGCCCAGGATGGGCATAAGGGGTTGCTGCTGGTGGACCACACTGAGTGGGCAGATTGGAGGCTGATCAATGTGACCTGCGGCCTCTCCTTTGGGGACCCCACTGGAGCTGGGTGCTGGGCAAAGCCTGATGGTTGGAGCCCAAGCACACAACCCACAGAAAGTGTTACTAGCACTCCCATTCCATCTTCTGAACAGTAACTCTATCGTGTTTGCTTCTGTTGCAGTGGAGGTGGGACACAGGGCTGGAGACAACCATGAGGAGGAGATGGAAACAGAGACTGAAACATCGGGGCAAATGACTGAGGTGGAAATGGAAACAGAAAGCAAGACCTCTGGGCCGGAGAGAAGTGATGTGAGTTCTGGTTCTTTGGGCCCCCCCGTGCTGCTGAGCTCCCCTCATGAATGGCTTCTTTATACTTTATACCCCCAGGAGTCCAAGGAGTAGACTCAGCCACACAGGGGTTAGGCCAGCACCTCTTCCCTCCATGCTGTGAGTGTAGGTGAATTACCAGGACAAGGTCTGACACTTGCTTTTCCTGACGTGTTCTGGTCAGTTTTGCTCTGTTCCTTGACCACTGACTGAGTCCCTAAGCACACACAACCACCTTGCAGTGGTTCTGAGAGCAGTTGTGCGAGGGCACGTGGACAGCTGCAGGCAGGCCCACAGCAGGAGCTTTGCACAGCAAGAACCATGCCCTGTGCTTCCTGCACGTCAGCACGTAGACCTCGTCTCCCATGGGTCGTGTAGGCGGCAGAAACGGAAGGCTTGATTGTCTCTATCAGCAGATGCAGGTGCTGGACACCACCAGACTGCTGAGAAGCTGCATACAAAGTGCTGTGGGCATGCTCAGAGACCAGAATGAGAGCTGCCAACGCAGTATGAGGAGGGTGGAGATTCTTTTCAGCCTCTTGAATGAAGACGATGAATGCAGAGGTATGATCCCCATCTCCTGCCTGTACCCCAGCGTGGGTTGCTGCTCAGGAGTGAGAATCATCTCACCTTGCGGTCTTCTGTGGTTCGTAGAAGCAGCTGACCCAGCAGGAATCCAAGCGTACCTCTCCAGCTTTGCTCTAGACTTGGCCTGGCTAAAGGAGAGGCAGCTTCCCTTCTGGTGGGCTGGGTCAGTGTTGCAGAGCCCACAACTCAGTGCCCGTGGGACATGGGGAATGCGTGTCTCTTCTGCTTTTTTGCAGCCACCTTCTTACGGGTATCCAAGATGCGCCTCTATGTCCTTTTAAGGAAGCAAGAAGAGAACTACCTCCACAATATGAAGGAATGGGTGGTGAGGGAAGCCTCGAATCAGGACGCTCTCCAGGAGGCAGGCACGTTCAGGTACCGTGGTCACAGGAGACCAGGAGGGCCTGCCGTGTGGCGGCCGGGCCTGCAGCTTTGTGCACGCACCCTCTCCCCGCCGAGGAAAGGGGGCCGAGACGTTTCTCTGAGCAAAGGGTCACTTTTTTGTTTTTCCAACGAGCACAAGATAGTCTGGGTGGTGGTTATGTGGGGATTTGCTGCCTCTTTTCTCTCCTTTTGCATTTAAATTTTTTCATAATAAAAAAAATAGAACATCTGTTCTTATAGGATGTAAATGTTTACCAGCATGTCCGTTCCCAGAGAAATGGATGCTGCTGTTTCAGGTTATTAAGAACGGGATATGCAGGAAGGGAACAGAAATTATTTTCCCGGGGCCGGTCCCGTGGCGTAGCGGATAAGTGCGCGCGCTCTGCTGCTGGCGGCCCGGGTTCGGATCCTGGGCGCGCACCGACGCACCGCTTGTCAGGCCATGCTGTGGCGGCGTCCCACATGAAGTGGAGGAAGATGGGCACAGATGTCAGCTCAGGGCTGGTCTTCCTCAGCAAATAAAGAGGAGGATTGGCTTCGGATGTTAGCTCAGGGCTGATCTTCCTCACACACACAAAAAAAACAAATTATTTTCCTAGATCTACTGTTTGAAGTTATTCAATAACTACAAAAATAAGACCCTGGAGTATTCATTTATTGTCCATGGTCCTTTTTCTATAAAACCTTGACCCTTTTTGAGGACTAACCCATGACGACCTGTGTCATGGAAGGAGGGACAGACTTCTGGATGCCAGATGGAAGATGAAGCGTGCCTCGAGTTGGCAGGATCATCTTAGACCTGTTACTTCATCACTCTGGCTCTTAGTTTCCTCATGTCTGAAAGAAAGTTTTACTCATGCACAAGGCCCCGTCCAGGCCCGACCTTCCCCGACTGTGGCTGGGGTCGCCCTCCGCAGTACTGCCTGTGAGCCGTCAGCAGGAGGAAAATGGCGGGAGCAGCAGGAGGAAAATGGCGGGAGCAGCAGGAGGAAAATGGCGGGAGCAGCAGGAGGAAAATGGCGGGAGCAGCAGAGCCGAGTGGAACGTGCAGCTTATTGATGCTGATTTCATCACTGTAGGAGGTTTTCTGCTTCTGCTTTTTTCTCTAGTTATCCTTAATTTCTTTCCAAATTATACTTTCTGAGTAAGGAATTTTATAAGGTCAGATATGAACCTACAAATATTTTCATCTCCCTTGGTTACTCCTAATGGATTTTACTGAATACTTACTTCTACATAAATATTTCTGAGCCTCTGTATTTTCAGCCTCCCCATCAGTTTCTGAACTTTCCATTTGCCAGGTGTTGAGAGCAGTATGGGCGGCCCCACCTTCCACTGCCCTGCTGTTTGCTGTAGCATTGGGACTAGCCTCCTCTCACTCGGGTTGCTGGTGGTTTCTGAACAGCATCTCAATCTAGCGGTCAGAACTCTCACCTGTTTTAACTCGCTGTGTCGGGTCAGGTGGAGCCCAGAGCCTGCTGATCCACTATCATAAGCCACTGGGGACTAACTCTGTTCACCATCCCTGTATTTTGTACTTAAGCCATTTGCCCTCGTGGGATTAAATAGTCCAAACTGTGATTGTCTTTATAAAAGGGTTGTTCTGACTCCCAAGTCTGCACACCTGTCCAGGTACAGCTGCCCCCGTCTCTCTCTGCAGCCAGCGCTTCCTTTCACTTCTGTAGTCTTCCACTATTTTCTAGTTTGGCACTTTTCCCTTAAATCAAGTGATCTCTTTGATCATTAGCATGCTTTGTTTCCTCAGTAGACGTTTTTGAATTCTCTCCAGGTTTCTGTGCACTATATTCTTTAAAAAGTAGGGTATTTCTTTTTCTTCTTTTCATTTCTCCCCAATGTTAATTACCAAGCAGTAGATTTCTTAGACTTTATCACAAGAATTTTGAGATGAATTATAGAGTTTATTATTATGTATAAATATAACAGCAAAGTATAATGTATTTAATATAAGCAATCAAATTTATTTTCATATAAAAATCCTCAGATCCAGTGTACAAAAACCATTAGCAACAAGAACTAAGTTCTAGATAAACTTGTGCTTTCTTGCTTAACTTGATTTGAAATGCATTTACTGTGTGTGAGGATCCACGACCTGGCTGACTGCCACTGGGGAGTGGGAGAGGGAGGAGTGCGCTCGCCTAGTTCTACTGCCCTCCGGGGATCCAGTCCACCACCTTCAGATGCACAGCTGCATGGATCTCTCAGGTGTCCTGTTGTGCTGTGCAGAGTCCTCTGCTGGTTAATGAATGTCCATTTAGTTATAACTTACAGGGGAGACAAAGGGAACAGTTCACTCCACCATGAAGCTGACGTCACTACCAAATGAATTTGTTGTGGTCTCTTCTTTATTATAGTCTATCTACAACTGACTTTTTTTCTTAAAATAACGTTTTTTTTTTCCAAATGAATTTGGTCATTGTTTTCTTTATTTATTGAACCTAGATGACTTGTTCTGGAAAATAGTCATATAACAAAATAAAGCAAGTGTACTACTTGGCCTTTTCAGTGAACTAGTTACAGTTTATTAGATGTAGAATTAAGATCTACTCCAGTTCTGCCCCTAGACATTTGCATTTGTGAGTCTCTCTTCTGGTATTTTAAAATAATGAAAATTTCCATTTATCACCATAGCTATAGTGTGGAAATTAGGAGACCAGGTGTTTTGGTACAGCCCAAGAGGAAACGGAATGTCAGAAGGATGCAGGACTCCCACCGTGGTCTGTGGTCAGTCTGACGTGACACTGGAGTCTGCCTCTCTTCTGCTCTGCAGGCATACCCTCTGGAAGCGGGTCCAGGGCACGGTGATACCTCTCCTGGCGAGCATGATATCTTTCATCGACAGAGATGGCAATCTTGAGCTACTGACCAGGCCAGGTGCTCCATCCTGGAGAAGAGATCTTTGGATGTTTATTTTCAGTGACATTAAGCTTCTGAACATTCCTCTTGTGACAAATGATACAAGGTGAATCCTTTTTGTGGGAAGGGAAAAAAAATCATAACATAGCAGCAATCTTTTCTTCTTTTTTTTTTTTGTGAGGAAGATCAGCCCTGAGCTAATATCCAATGCCAATCCTCCTCTTTTTTTGCTGAGGAATACTGGCCCTGGGCTAGCATCCATGCCCATCTTCCTCCACTTTACGTGGGAGGCCGCCGCAGCGGAGCGCACGCACTTAACCGCTTGCATCACCGGGGCCAGCCCCCATAGCAGCAATCTTAATATGCTCTCCCAAGTCTTTGATGAAATGTAGGTATCGATTTTAGGATCACATTTAAGTTGGCTCTTTTCGCAGCCTCAATGGTTATGGCATTACAGCAACATAGGAGAGTTTGCTAAAGTTCTGAGAAATCTTTGTTTCGTTCTCTTCTTGCTTCATCTCCCTGTTTCCAGAGCACCCGTTACAGTTAAAATTGCCAGGTTCAACTCCGTCCACACCAGAGAAGCTGCACTTAGAGAGCTGTTAGATTTGTGTCGCTTTTCCTGTTCCTCCTTCCTTGGGGGAATCCACACGGCCTGTCGCTAGGCCTGATCTTGTGCAACTCAAGCTCAACCGGCCGCCCAAAAGCTTCCTCTTTGGATTTCAGGGGACCTCAATTCCAGGGTGTAGGTTAATAAAGAATATACGAATAAATGGAATTCTGAATCTGCAGTGGAAACACTTAGAAGACAAGACACCATTGATCACGAGAGAAAGACTGGCTTCTGATAAGTCATGTTCTGTGTGTGTAGGTTTAGGGCCAGGGTAGGTCCAGGCACCACAAGACCTGGTTCTGCCTGAGACTTTGGGCAACTACTTGACCCCTCCCAGCCTTGGTTTGTTTTTGTTTTGTCTGCAAAGCCAAGAGATTACATGAGGTCGCCCTGGAGTTCCTTTATAACAGAAGCACTGAGCTGTAAAATGGACCAGTGGGCCGTCTTTGTAGCCTTTTAACACATTTGTTCTTGAGGATTGAGAGGAACTGGCATCAGAGGTGGGTCTTGTCTTGTGTCTTGAGCAACATCTCACTGACCCTATTCTTTGTCCTCATTTGCCTGATTGCAGATCTAAAAGTGAGATGTCCTATGTCATGGTGCAGAACTATATGAACCTTGCAGAGGGCTTCTCCAATGACGTGCCTTTTAGCTGGCGAATCAAGGACTATCTGGAAGAACTGTGGGTCCAGGCTCAGTACATCACAGGAGCTGAAGGTGAGCCCGGGGATGTGGTGGAAGGGGACATGTTCTGGCAGGAGGAGAGCCTATTACCCTGTCATGAGGCTTCTGGACAACTAGGGCACAGGACTCAGGAGATGTCCCATTAAGCCTTTCTCAACAGCTGCTAGCGACTAGAATGGAATATCTTTGCCCAAACTGAGCTGCAGTGCTTCTCCTAAACCACGTGGCACCTTGCTCTGCTGTCACACACGTCCCAAGTAGTTTGGCCATCGGCACTCCAGGAAAACCAACGATAACACAACACTCTTGGAAAAGTCATCTTTCATCCATGAAATAATCTTTTCAAAGTTTACTAATAGCACTGCCTTTAAAAACTACAGGTCAAATCCTTGAAGATGAACTTATTTTTCTAGGTAAGCATTCTGCCACTTTTTCTGAACAAACTTGAAGCAGTCTGTGTCCTGAGCAAAGAGTCTTCCCTTTTCAAGGCCGTGCCCTAACCGTTAGACAGTGCTTTTCTGTGAGAGCGTGTGACTGAGGCTAGCACCCCATCCACTAGGAGGCAGATCTTTCTGGTTCGAGCAGCTCATCACCCCAGCCCCTGAAGAGCAGCCACTCATTCCTGATTCACTTGGGTCCTGAAGCCTGTTTTGACTTAATAGACGTAAAACTTGGTCTGTCTCAGATCGTTTGATCCCTTTGGGTCTGGGTAGGCTGTTTGTGACTGAAATTTAACATTGGTTCTGCCTTTGTTTCTGTTATTCCACTGGAAAAATATCTAAAGTGTCTAGAAATGATCATAAAATCAGGCAGCTGACTCTCTGCAGTGAGCTTGCATTCAGCAGAACCTTACCCTCTGTTACTGTTTGCAGAGTGACTGCCCTTCACCAGGAGAAACGGAGTGTTCTGAATGAAAGGGAAGAGTCAGGATTTACATCCTCACTCCAAGCCAATCTTTGGTCTCCTCTCTGCAGGACTGCCAGAGATGTTAACGGAAGTCTTTCAGCAGACTCCTCTGGGCAGGTTTCTTGCTCAGCTCAGTGCAGAACAGCAGCAAGAACTTCTTCAGTGCTACTTGAAGGACTTCCTTCTCTTGACCATGAGAGTGTCCACTAGGGAAGAATTAAAGGTAAAGAGGAGAGCTGGTGTGGTATGACCTGGATGCAAACGTGAGAACTTTTCCTCAGCTACTGAGGCTGGTGCTGTCTCATTTGTGGAAAAGGACGTGGTCTGGGAGGACTCTGGTGCCTGAAAATGCCACTCATGCCCTCAAAATGCTCAGTGCGAAACCCTCAGCCCACTGCCCAGGGCCCCCAAAACATGAGCTTTTTATAACATAAGGAAGTCCTCCAATTTCCTGGTAACACCTTCCTTTTAAATATTTAGAGTCTCTTGAAGAAAATTAGGTAAATATTGAACTGACTCAACAGGGTAATAATAATAACTGAGATTTCAGTGGAAAGACTGATAGTTTTGACAACCTAAAGATTTCAAATTTCAGTACATAAAAAAGGAAAGTGACAAATTTGAGGAGAACATACTTATAACCGATATGATTTAAGGATAATAAAGTATTCTTAGGAATTAATAAGAAAATACCCTAATTTCTAAAAATGGGTGAAAATTATAAACCAACAATTAACAGAATAATTATACAGGTATCCAGAAAACATTTGAAAATTGCTGAGCCTCACTAGTAAATCAATGAAACATGAACAATTTTTAGATACTATTTTTACCTATCCATGTGGGAAAACTGATTTTTAAAAAGGCAGAAGTTCCTCCATTGTGAACCAGCACGGTCCTTCTAGAAAACTGCCGGGTGAGATGAATTGAAAACCTTATAAAATCTGAACTGGTGATTCTGTCCTGAGAACATTATTGGAGACGTGGACAATATTTTATCCAGGAATGTTCTTTTCAGCTTTATTTCTAAAAAGGGAAAATGAGAAACAATTTTGTTGTCCAAAATTGAGGGTTGGACAAATTAAAGTAGGGCCATTTAATTGGTCATTGTGCAACCACCACAAATGATGTTCTTCAAGTGTACTTAACAATAGAGACATATTTGTAATGTAATAAGTGGAAAAAAATCAGGAATATACTGTGATCCTAATTTGGGGACAACAGGGAGAAGAGGTATGGATATAAAAATGCCTAGAAGGGTTGACACCAAAAAGTAAACTAGAGATAGTAATTGTAGGCGTGATTTTTAATTTTCTTTTTTGTCATTTTTGAATAGTTCCAATTTTCCACAGGAAAACCATATTTTTTTTTTTTTTTTTTTTGTAATTTACAAATATAAACTAAAAGCTTGTTTGTTTGTTTGTTTTTTTGGTGAGGAAGATCGGCCCTGACCTAACATCCATGCCCATCTTCCTCTACTTTATATGGGACGCCACCACAGCATGGCTTGACAAGCGGTGCATCGGTGCGCGCCCGGGAACCGAACCGGCGAACCCCAGGCCGCCGCAGCTGAGCGTGTGCACTTAACCACTTGTGCCACCAGGCTGGCCCCTCTAAAAGCTTGTCTTTCATCCCAGGTCCTGCAGACGGCTCTGTGGTCCTGCATCAATCAACTGAAAGCAGGAGGACCAGAAGAGCAGATTTCCTTACCATGGGTGCACCTTGCCTATCAGCACTTCAGGAGCCGGCTACAGAACTTCTCCAGAATCCTGACTATCCACCCCGAAATTCTGCACAGCCTAATGGAAGCCCCATGGAACCACTGCTTGGCTGGACATGAGATGGTATGGCTCCTCTGGGGGAACTTAGTGCTTACAACCAGGGCTCGACCTTCCTTGAGCAAGTGGGAGGGTGCTCCCAAACACCCTCCTGGGAATGGAAAGCTTATGGGCCATGTTCCAGATGGGAAACTTCACGTGCATATATGTCAGTATAACTCAGATGTTAAGAACACATCTAACCAATGCTTCCTCTATCGCATACAATAAAAGATGAGGCTACAAGCCTGGGAACACGAGAATACACTGTGCTAACATCCTGGGCCTCTGGGCTTAGGATTTAGAGCAGCCAAAAGGGTGGGGGGCGGGGCTGCTCAGTCACGGGCCTGTTCTCTGTCTCCCCAGACTCTGGATGCATTCGCAGCGGTGGCCTGTGCTGAAATGCTGACCAGAGACATCCTGAAGCCCAGTCCCCAGGCGTGGTTACAGATGGTGAAGAATCTGTGCATGCCGCTGGAACTCCTCTGCTCAGACGGGTACATGCGAGGCAGTGGGAGCGTGACCGAAGCTGTCATCAGGGAAGTCAGGTGAGACCCAGGAGCCTGGCGCTCGCTGATCCCTTCCACACGTGCTCACCAGGAGCCTGCCCAGTCCTGGCCGCATCAGAAAGATACTCCTGCCCCGGGAGGAGTCCTTTCCTCATTCATTGAGGAAGCTTTTAAACCCTCTGTTGAACGCTTTTTAAATGCCAGGCATCATATTGATGCTAGAGACACAAAGAAGAAGAAAACTGTGCGTTCAGGGAGTGCATGGAGTAATGGAGGGGATAGAAAGGCGAGCAGATTATGATGATCCCGTGGGAGAAATGCTGGGACAGAAGAGAGCAACTGGAGAGGACCTCAGGCAGGACAGCAGGGCAGGCAGGGCCGCGGAGAAGGGACCAGCAGTCAGGGGACAAGTCTTGTGCTGGCCTTTAAGGCAAGGTGGGACTCAGCAGGCACAGGCTGAGGCCAGCACGTGAGACCCCGAGCTCCGCAGAGCTGAGTCTGAGGGGAGGAGTGGAAAGACGGAAGTGGTGGCGGTCAGGGAGCCGCGCGCGGGGCTGAGGCGTGATTCCCCCGCCCACCTCTGCCCTGGCTCCTCTGCCCATCTTTCAAGTCTTGTGCCTTGGAACTGCCTCTCTGCCCCTGCTCCTCCTGAGTGACACCCCTCCCTTGACAGAACCCACTGGAATCGCATTTTTTCCATCGCACTCTTTGTGGAGCATGTGCTGTTGGGGACCGAGAGCCAGATTCCTGAGCTGCGCCAGCTGGTGACCAAGTACGTCTTCTTACTCAACAAGGTGAGTGCTCGAGTCAAGCTCAGCAAGCCTCCCGGCTCTGCCTCTCTCCAAGACGAAGAAGAATCGAAGCCTAACCTGACATTTGTCTGCAGGGAGTATATTCCCTTTCAGCTCTGACAGTTTTATCTAGAAGTGCAAAGGAAAGTGATTTCATTGCATAGGTCATAACATTTTCCATGTTTAATTGTTTAATTATTTACCCTCTCCTGGGTGCTAAGTCAGGGTATATCATTTTATGGAAACTATCCATGCAGAGAATATCCTTCAAACCCTTTGGGAGGGCTCAAGGGGTGGGCTCCACCCAGGCCTCCATTGGCCACAGACCCTTCCAGCAGCCTGGCCCTCTAGGGGAGCTGTCTGCCGCCGCCATGGTCAGGGGGACGGGGATGCAAGAGAATGCCGCTGGGGTTGTGGACTTCAAATACAGTGCTGTGGGTGGGACCAAGGGAACAGGAAGCCCCGTGCCTCTGCCCCTCGACACCCTTCATAAAATTAGTACCCCTCAGAAGAAGGCACCACCTCTGTGACCATGCTTTCAGTCACAGTGGCCACTCAACAAACGACGGCTTCTGCCTCACTTACCCCAGAAACTTCGCGCACAAGTGCTTCTAGCAGCTTTAGCTGTGCAGCCTTTGAAATGCAGTGGGGCACACTACAGGGCAGTTGACGTGGATACTAGGTTCCAGTCTACTCTCACATGACCAACATATCAATGGCTGAAACAAAAGATAAGCCTGTCTCTCCTATAACTGTCTGTAGGAGCTTAAGCAATCCCGGGCTAGTGTACCAGCTTCTCCGTGTCAGGCGCCCAAGCTCCTTCTGTCTTGTTGCATTGTCGCCCTTAATATACAACTGCCACCTTGTGGTCCGAGAAGGCTGTTTCTGCTGTCACAAGCCATGGGACAGAAAGAACGGGCAGCAGAGGGCACACCCATTTTAAGATGACAACGCAGAATATGCACACAGCATGTCAGCTCAGAGCCCACCATCCTAAACTTAGTCACGGCCTTATCTAGTTACACAGGAGGCTGAGAAATCTTGAGCAGAACGGTCCCATGCCCAGGTAGATCTTGGAGGTTCCTTTATAGAGGAAAAATGGAGAAAGGACCCTAGAAAACAACTGGCACTCTCTGCCACACCGTTGGCCCACACCCGTGATCACCCTTCTTCCCACACAGACTACAAGTAGCTTTTCTCCAGGTCTCGCCCTGTCACAGGCCAGGATCCCTGGAGGATGCACAGTCCTTTCAGCCAGGTCCAGTGTGGTTCTTAACGATGATAACCTAAACTAAAAGATAAGTTATTTGGTCCCTGCATGCCGGCATGTACACACTCGTAGACTCTTTCATGTTAGGCCTGTGGGGAGACTTTTTTTGGCAATAAAATTACCTCAAAAACTTGATGGGGGGGTCGGCCCCGTGGCTTGGCGGTTAAGTGCGCACGCTCCGCTACTGGCGGCCCAGGTTTGGATCCGGGCGCGCACCAACGCACCGCTTCGCTGGCCATGCTGAGGCCGCGTCCCACATGCAGCAACTAGAAGGATGTGCAGCTATGACGTACAACTATCTACTGGGGGGCTTTGGGGGAAAAAAAGGAGGAGGATTAGGCAATGGATGTTAGCTCAGAGCCGGTCTTCCTCAGCAAAAAGAGGAGGATTAGCACGGATGTTAGCTCAGGGCTGATCTTCCTCACAAAAAAAAAAACAAAAAAACAAAAAACCTTGATGGGTTTCTGGTTTATTTCCTTCCAGTCAGATCCATGTGCGAGTAACCACAGCTGAAGACCTTCTATAGTTCGTTTTCATGCCTGAAGCCTGTCTTGTATTTACTGGCCTCATGTTCTTCCCATCCCCTCCAATTTAAGGACAGCCACCTTGAGGCCATTTGGGGAAAGGGGCTTGAGGGGGAAAGCATTGCCTGTGAGGCTGGCTCCTATTGTCTGGCTAGGAAGTCTTAAATGGAATTGCTGGGGGAGGGCATGGGGCATCAAATCTTATCTCCTACTGTGGCTGCCTTTTCAGAGCTACTTCTTATAGTTAGCCTGAATTGATAGTCAAGAAAGCCTCCCACGGGACTTTGGTAAAAGCTGCAAAAAGCAGGCAATACACAGATGGATATTGCGTTTTCTCAGTTCTAATAGAAAGGTTAGATGATAAATAGATAGATCGTTAAGTAGGTAGGGAATAGACAGACAGATAGATAGATGATAGATGAAAGATGGATGGACAGTTAGATACATAGATCATGGATGGATGGATGGATAATGATAGATGGATGGGTAGATAGGTAGATGATGGGTGGATAGATAGATGCTAGATGGATGGATGGATATATAGATAGATGATGGATGGATGGATGGATAATGATAGATGGATGGGTAGATAGGTAGATGATGGGTGGATAGATAGATGCTAGATGGATGGATGGATATATAGATAGATGATGGATGGATGGATAGATAGAGAGATGATAGATGGATGGATAAATAGGTAGGTAGATAGATGGATGATGGATGGATAGATAGACGATTGACAGGTAAATGATGGATGGATGGATAGATAGATGATGGATGGATGGATAGAAAGCTAGATGATAGATGGATGATGGATGGGTGGATAGGTAGGTAGGTAGATAGATGATAGATGGACAATGGATGGATAGATAGAGAGATGATGGATGGATAGGTAGGTAGGTAGATAGATGACAGATGGATGATGGATGGATGATAGATTGGTAGGTAGGTATATAGATATAGATAGATAGATAGATTGATTCTCTTGGCTTGTGATCTGACTTCTAAGGTGTCACAGATGACAGTCTCACCAAATGTTTTGCTATTATAGATCATAAGGGCGTTGACTTTCCAGTCTGTAATGTCCCTATCCTTGCCAACCACTGTCCAACCACTAGTCCACTGCCTTTTTTTTTTTGGTGGTAAAATATAGATAACATAAAATTTACCATTTTAGCCGTTTTTAGGTATACAGTTCAGTGGCATTAGGTACATTCACATTGTTGTGCAACCATCACCACCATCCATCTCCAGAACTCTTTCATCTTGCAAAACTGAAACTCTGTCCTCATTAAACACTAACTCCCCATTCCCCTCCCCCAGGGCCTGAGACTCATATAAGTCCCAGGGTCCCCATAGGGACCTCATATAAGTGGAATCATATGGAATCATTTGTCCTTTTGTGTCTGACTTACTTCACTCAGCATAATGTCCTCAAGTTGTAGCATGTGTCAGAATTTCCTTCCTTTTTAAGGCTGAATAATATTCCATTGTGTGGATATTCCACATTTTGTTTATTCATTCATCTATTGACGGATATTTAGGTTATTGCCACCTTTTGGCGATTGTGAGTAATGCTGTTATTAACATTGGTGTACAAGAATCTGTTTGAGTCCCTGCTTTTAATTTTTTGGATATATACCTAGAAGTGGAATTGCTGGATCATATCATAATTCTATGTTTAACTTTTTGTGGAACCACCCTACTGTTTTCCACAGTGGCTGCACCATCCTACATTCCCACCAACAATGCACTAGGGTTCCAATTTCTCCACATCTCTCCCAACACTTGTTATTTTCTATGTTTTTTTTTTTTTCTTTTTAATAATAGTATCCTAATGGGTGTAAAGTGGTATCTCATTGTGGTTTTAATTTGCATTTTCCTAATGACTGATGATATTGAGCATCTTTCTGTGTGCTTGTTGCCCATTTTTGTATCTTTGGAGAAATGTCTAGTCAAGTCCTTTACCTGCTTTTGAATTGGGTTGTTGATTCACAAATCAAATTTAGCAGGGTATTAAAAACATATATATCATTTCAAAGTAAGATTAATCCTGGGAATTCAAGGCTAGATCAAAATAATAAAATCTATGAAATGTCATCGTTTACATAACAAATTAAAAGATAAACCCTAAATGATCATTTCAAAAGGTACAGAAAAAGCATTTGATAAAGTATAATTTGCCATGTCTGACCAAGCAAGGGAAACAACAGAAAAAATAAACAAATGGGACTACATCAAACTAAAAAGCTTCTGCACAGCAAAGGAAACCATCAACAAAACAAAAAGACAACCTAACAATTGGGAGAAGATATTTGCAAACCGTATATCTGATAAGGGGTTAATATCCAAAGTATATGAAGAACTTATACAACTCAACAACAAAAAACAGACAACCCAATTGAAAAATGGGCAAAAGATCTGAACAGACATTTTTCCAAAGAATATATACAGATGGCCAACAGACACATGAAAAGATGTTCAACATCACTAATTATAAGGGAAATGCAAATCAAAACTACAATGAGATATCGCCTCACGCCTGTCAGAATGGCTATAATTAACAAGACAAGAAATAACAAGTGTTGGAGAGGATGTGGAGAGAAGGGAACTTGCATACACTGCTGGTGGGAATGTAAACTGGTGCAGCCTCTATGGAAAACAGTATGGACATTCCTCCAAAAATTAACAATAGAACTACCATACAATCCAGCTATTCCACTGCTGGGTATTTACCCAAAGAACATGAAAATATGAATGCATAAAGATATGTGTACTTATGTTCATTGTGGCATCATTCGCAATAGCCAAGACTTGGAAACAACCTAAGTGCCCATTAAGGGACGAATGGATAAAGAAGATGTGGTATATATACACAATGGAATACTACTCAGCCATAGAAAAAGATGAAATCTGCCCGTTTGTGACAACATGGATGGACCTTGAGGGTATTATGCTAAGTAAAATAAGTCAGAGGGAGAAAGTCAAATACCATATGATCTCACTCATAAATAGAAGATAAAAACAACAACAAACACATAGATACAGAGATTAGATTAGTGGTTACCAGAGGGGAAGGGGGGAGTGGGGAGGGTGAAAGGGGTGACTGGGCACATGTGTGTGGTGATGGATTGTAATTAGTCTTTGGGTGGTGAACACGATGTAATCTACACAGAAATTGAAATATAATGATTTTGAAATATAATGAAATTTATATAATGTTATAAACCAATATTACCTTAATAAAAAAAAATTAACCATAGTTAAAAGGCTAGCATTTTTACTATTAAAATTACTGTGATGATTGGGGCTAGCCCTGTGGTATAGCGGTTAAGTGCGCGTGCTCCGCTGCTGGCAGCCCGGGTTTGGATCCTGGGTGCGCACCGATGCACCAATTGTCAGGCCGTGCTGTGGCGGCGTCCCATATAAAGTGGAGGAAGATGGGCACGGATGTTAGCCCAGGGCCAGTCTTCCTCAGCAAAAAAAAAAGGGGGGGGAGGATTGGTGTGGATGTTAGCTCAGGGCTGATCTTCCTCACACACAAAAAAAGTAATAAAATAAAATTACTGTGATGGACATCCACTGGAGCAAGAAGACACTCTGATTAGCTCTTCTACAATAAAATAGCAAAATAGGAATAATAAAAAAAATTTATAATTTGGAAAAAAGATACTCTTGGCAAACTAGGAATAGAAGGAGACTCTCCTTAAGCTGATAATGCCCAAGGGTATACGTAATATAAAGACATCTATTGCAAACATCATTCCTAAGCACAAAATTCCAGAAGCACACCCATGAAACTATCTTGTATCGCTGAAGATGTACATTTCCTAAAAACCAGTGTTTCCACTTCTAAATATATACCCCAGAAAAATTTCCCATTGGTACTCAAGCAGACACATGGAAGAATGTTGGGTACAGAACTGTTTGTAATTGCAAACAACTGGAAACATTCTAAATGCCCATTAACCAGAAAACAGGTAACTGGTATATTCCTCAGTGGGTACCATACAGCAGTTAACATGAATGATCTGGACATACATGTATCAGTGAAAAAAGCAAGTTTGCAGAAGCTTAGGTACAGTGTGATATCACTGATACAAAGTTTAAAAACATTCAAAACAACAACGTAATCTTAATGCGTGCATAGATATGTAGTAAAAGTGGGAATTTAGGAATCTGGTTCTCTCTGGGGAGGGGAAGGGAGGGAGGGAAATGTGATTATGATTAGAAAGGGATACGCTTGGAGTTGCAACTGTATTGGTAACATTTTGTTTCTTTAAAAAAATGATCTAAAGCAAATTCCAAAAATGCTAAGATTTCTTATAGCTCGGTGGTAGATATATGGATGGTCATTATATTATTGTTTAAAGTTTGAAATATCTCTGACCTCTGCCCTTCCTCACTGCTAATTAGCTTCCTCATCACTGCCTTTCTCCTTCAGTGTCTGCAAGAGAACTCTGACATCAAGACCCACAGGCCTTTCATCGCTGTGGTGACTACTCTTCGTGAATGTAAGGACCAGGCCAGCAAGACCTTCACTAGGTGAGATCTTTGGTTTGGGATCATGAGGGAGAGAATTCCAAACCTTTGGTATTTTTAGCTTCTCACAGCCAGCTTCTCTGCTTCAGAACCGATCACTCTTCTTGGATTCTAGGTTTGGGGTTCAGCCGTGCCCCATCTGCCTGGGAGATGCACGGGATCCCGTCTGCCTGCCCTGTGACCACGTCTACTGCCTGGGTTGCGTCAACACCTGGCTCGGCATGGGGCAGATGAGTTGCCCCTTGTGTTTAACCGAGTTGCCAGAGGGCTTCTCTCCGACAGTTTCCCAAGAGTACAGGTAGAACACCCTTTCTCTTAAGAAAGCTTTCTCTTTTTTTTCTTCCTTTTTTGCAAATACAGTTTTCAGAAATATAACTCTACTGACTTTAGAAAACCTTTCTGCAGAGAACTGTCCTGAGAGAGACAGCCACTTATGTACCTTCATAAACACCTAGTATCTCAAAATTATTTTCTCCCCAAGACATACATGTGTACAGATTTGGGAGACAGAAAAATTAGAAGAAATAAACCAGAAAGTCGTAAATTAAATAAAGCCATCACGAGAGACCCAAGGAATTTAGATGAAACTGGTTTATCCTCTTGATGTATAAATACCATTCATGTTCTATGACCTGAGCATAAAGCTCACTCTTGTCTGGCTGAGTGCTTATTGGGGCACGTAGTTAAAATTAGTGGGAGCTCTGTGTGCTTAGCCATCCTCAGCTCTGCTCCATTAGTGGTTTCCTTCCCTTTCCCTCCCTCTGATGCCTCCTAAAAGTGGAGCTCAAGGCAAGCCCAATAGAAGTATAACGATATACACCTGAAATTTATACAATGTTATAAACCAATGTTACCGCAACAAACAAAAAACAAAAAAAGAGGCAAGCCCAGTGGATGGGTCTTGGACAGGCTGTCAGGATATTGAGGCGATTGCTGGCTGGTCCACATGCTCAAAGTGTTCCTAGAAAGAGACGAGTCTGCGTACTGTCTGTTGCCATTTGGAAGACCAGCTCTCATCAATAGAAGGAGAAACTTGGGTCTTTTTATTTAAAAAAACAACGCCGTCCAAATCCCAAAGCTCTTTGTATGGAGGGATTCTGGAACACATTCTACAGGCCTTTTGACCATGCCTTTCAACCATTCCCAAGGGATGCCGTTGAGAAACACGCCTGCTTCCGGCAGATGTGCAACAGCTTCTTCATAGACCTGGTTTCCACTCTGTGCTTCAAAGATAATTCTCCACCACAGAAGGATGTGATCGAGGTTCTGCTGTCTTTACTCTTTGTACAAAAGGAGCTCTTAAGAGATGCTCCCCAAAGTAAGTTGCTTTCTTCCTATAGACTTAAAAATTCAGTTCATCATCTCACTTTTGTATGTGTGACGTGAACAGTGAGATCCCTTTCCCTTTCTGGTTTCAGGACACCGTGAACACACAAAATCTCTGTCTCCGTTTGACGATGTTGTGGATAAGACCCCTGTCATTCGCTCCGTGGTTCTGAAACTGCTTTTGAAGCACAGGTAAGCTCAGCCACTACGGCGTTTGTTTCAAGAAAGACTTCACATCTTGTGTTCCTCGGCATGGCTTTTTCTTTGCCACCAAGCATTCTTCACAGGACTAGTGGCTAGTTCACGATTTGGGGAAGCTTTTTCAGTGAGAAACCGCCTGGTTTATCTATCTATATTGGTTGTGTGTTTGACATTTTCACCTATTGAAGGATGAGTTCACACAGATGAACTCAGACGAGTTCCGCATTGCCACAAGCACATCGTTAGGGAGGAGAAAACAGGTGTGCGGAAGCTCATGCGTCAGGAATCTGCGGTGCTGAGCCCTGGGCCACACCTACCTAGTTTTGTGATTTTTAGGGTGATAACTTAGAATCTACCCTCACCGTCGTCATCCTAGACGTCCTTGCATTTTGTTTCAGCTCTTCAGTTTCTCTGATTCTGTAAATGGATAGAGAAGCCAATATGGTGCCAAAGCTCAATGGTCTCGTGCGATTACTCTATTGTAGAAAATTCTTAGAAAGCGGTATTCAGGAGGCTTCTTTCAGAAGATACTTGGTATACCCAGCCTGTGTTCTGACTTGACAGGGTAGACTTGGAGGTGATGGCAAAAGCAAGATACTATAAGAATAGTTCTAACAGAAACAACTGCTTCTAACTTAAATGTTCAAAAGCGGACTCAGAATGGAGATTAGATTTATACTTAAAACATGGACCTGCTGCATCCTTGTCTATGGACACTTCATTTGGATTTTTTTTCATCATTTGTGAAGGAGTCTGTTCAGACAGGATTCCTGAAGAATTTTCAAATAAAAAGCTCCTAAAATACATTTTATTACAGAACTAGCATCTTACTATTCCTTAAAATGGCTTTTAAGGCGTATATGTAAAGAGTTGACTTGAGAAATGAAAAGAGCCTTTTTTGATGTTATGTAATTTTTATTCCTTTTGATAAATGTGTAAAATCTGTATTCATTTGAATTTCTTTGCTTAGAGAAATGGAAATGTAGTCGTTGACATGCATACATCTTGACATGTAGTGTAGACACATTAACATGAGTAGAAACACCACACTGTTATGAGAGGTTCGGGGATTCGATCGGAGACGTAAAAGACACTTTCCACTCCAAACAAATGGACTGAAGGTATATTTTATTATATAGAGGATAGTAAAGGTGACAGTCTGCAAACAGATCCAAATAGGTCAAATATTAAGAGGGAAAAAACATCAGCCCGACTGGAAAGGGAAAATACCCACATCGGC